GTCCATGACCTCTTCAAGTATACAAGAAGCCGACTTAGTGATATTCCTTACAAGCACCCTGTCGCTCCTGACAATAGCCGTCTGACGAACGATGATCTTCGCAAGCAAATGCTGAACACCATCTTCGGATGGAACAAGGGGATTGAGGATTTGGTCCGGGAGGAATTGAGCAGACACAACGCCGGCTCACCGGGTCGCATCCTGCTGATGAGGTGGCTTGGAGATATTGATGCTGATGTTATGGCAGCGAGCTCAGCCTCCATGACTTCTTCCGACTGGATGTTGCTAGCCCTCAGCGGTATTGGAGGTCAAGCCTCGCAACACAAGCTGGGACGCGCTTATGTCCAGAGACTGCTGGAGCATGGCGATCTTCACGCTGCGGTCACTATTCTGATTGGAATGGGCGACTACAATGACGCCATCGAGATTTACATCTCCCACAAGAAGTACATGGAAGCTCTCATTCTGACTTGCCTTTTCTACCCTGCTGTTTGGGAGCGGCAGTCAGCCATAATCAAGAAATGGGGAGAGTGGGCTGTCATGCACGGGCAACAGCAGCTTGCAGTCCGATGGTAAGTTGCCCATCTAAGCAGGGTGGTGTGCACAGCTAACCACCAAACAGCTTCGCTTGTACTGGGGCCGAGTCCGATGAGCCCTGGACGTCTCCTTCCGCCGCCCAAATCACCTTTCAAAGCATCAACCAGAACCTCACTGAGAGCATCCCCGAAGTGCTATCGCCGCCGTTATCGCCCCCCGGTATCAACCGCGGGCCTCAGAGGAGCATCGCCAAGACGTCCGCCCTGAAGCTCATCACGTCTTTCGGCGAGCAAACCGGAAAGTCGAAATTCTTTTCTCAAGGAGATGGTGGGCAGACACCCATTGCCGCCGGTCCGACCCCTATTGCGGACTCTGCTGTTTCTCCCGGCGGCTTCGACGTGACCACCGCTTTCATTCGTCCATCGAACCGCAGTCAGTTCAACACGCCGAACTCAGCGAGATCTGGAGCATCTGGTTTCGGTCGCAAGCGTCTCCCTTCCATCGGCGAGATCCCTGGAGACTTGTCCCGCGACCAGCTCCAGGCCGAAGGCGAAGAGTCCAGGCGTATCATGCAAATGCGCATGTCTTCTGCTGAACAGGATAACCTTGCGGCCGGCCTGAACCTGCAGAGGGCCGCCACCGCGAGCCCCATGATGATGCGTGACCAATACAAGAAGATCACGGTGCGGACAAGGGAGGCTCCTCCGCCGTCTCCTGACGCCAGGATGCTTGTGAAAATGGAGGGCAACATGGCTCAACGCAACGGTTCTCGGGATCGCAAGCCAAAGGGCCTCCATCTCGAACTCGCGGGTCTTAATAGCATGGCAAACGAGGTCACCTCACCTGAACAGTCTGTTTCATCCTCGACTCGCTTCCATTGGCCCTCTCGACGTCGCGGTCCGGGATCCGTCGCAAGCTCTGCCACATCTCAGTCCACCACAAGCAAAAGTCTTCGCAACAACACCAATGGCGGGCGACAGGACTACATCCACAGCCTCGACACTGCCCAGCGGCTTCAGCAACGAAAACAGAGAAGCCGACACTCAAGCCGCGAGGGTAAACGGGACGGCTCTCGTGGCCGTGATCGCGATCACAGCCGCACTCGTAAGACGACTTCCCGTGAGGCTTCATCGGAACGTGGTCGCGCCTCAAGCCGCAACTGGCCCAAGCCCAAGCGCTCGCCGACCTCTCCTATCCCCATGTCACCCGAGGACCTTATCAACTTGAGCACTCCCAGGATGCCGGAGGTTGTAGATCCTGCCACAGTGAGAAAGTCGAGCAAGAGCAGAAAGGGCACCAGTCGTACGTCCAGCCGAGGCAGTCAGGGTCGCGCCAGAAGCCCTGAGACTAGAAACCGCCCTCCTGCACTCGAGCTCCGCGGGCGAAGCGCGGACCGTGGCGGCGGCTCCCATGCCCGGTCACCCTCGTCGCCGCTTCCACTCTCAGCCAACCTGGTTCATTACCAAGGATCCGAAGATGAGGAAGACTACGTCAAGGCCGTCATCGCACAAGAGAACTTTAGGAACAGGCACAACAGGAGCACTAGTCAGCACGGATCCCGCAAGGCCCTCTCTCCTGAGCTCACTAGAGAATTTCCCCGACGAGACCGATCCGAGAGTCGCCGCCGTCAAATTGGTGAGGTCCCAGACCAGCCCCGCGATGTCGCGCCTACCCAATCAAAGTCGCGTGCCGCCTCCACCGAGCACGCCGGAGACCTCAAAGCCATGAAGGATGATAGACAACGCAAGAAGGAAGAAGCCGCGCGCGAGCTCGAGGAGCGCCGAAAGTCGCTTGCCCAGCGTCCTTCTGCGCCCCCGATCCCCCATCCCAGTCAGATCCGCATCGGCATCGAGCCGTCGTCCAGCGCCGTCGAGCTTCCCCCTCGCAGTCACACCGCAGACTCGGCATCGAGGAGCATGTACGCTCGCAGCAATTCCAACGTCCACATCGGGCTTCCTGCGACCCCAAAGGCCATGCGCCTCATCATTGAGTCCGGAAAGGACAGAAACAACGTCCCGGTGCCCCCGATCCCAGCGACCTTTGCGCAGCGTCACTCTCCAGCAACCTCTCCTCAGCAGCAGTCTCCCAATAACAGTGATAAGGAGGTCGAGTCTTTCACTCTGCTCCCGCAGACGACTTACCAGCTGCCATCTTCGGTCTACCAGCCTCCGCCTCGTGGCATGATCCCCCGCAGCATGTCCGCCCCACCGATTCCCCCTGACGCCCCATCCCCGAGAGGATCAAGCTCTCACAGCAAGGGGTTGTCCCGTGGTCCTTCAATGAGAAGGGGCAACATACAGGAGATTCGTACCGTCGACGACATGATCCGCGCCAGACGCGAGTCTCGGGAGAGCAACAATCACGGGCCTCTCCCGCCGCCGCCGCCTCCCCCGCCAATGTTGAAGGAGCTGCAGCACCTCGCCATGCCCCCTCCCCCACCACCGGCACCTCTTCCGTACGCCGCTCACAATCACGCCGGCGGCCTTGGATCTGGCATGATCGAGATTATCATGGACGACGACGAGCCAGCTCCGGCGACTATGGCCGCACCCATGGACACCACTGTTCCGGTCCTCCCGCCGCCGGCCCCTCCGGCGTCAAAGGGCCACAGCCGCGGCCGCAGCTTCACTGAGCGTGACAACAGTATTGCCGGCCGTATCTCCAAGGCTACCGACCGCTTCCGGTCCGGCAGCCGTTCCCGTAAGGAACCCTCCAGCCGCCCTCGCGGACAAGATGACTACGAATACGCGCCTTACGAAAGCGTGCCGAACTACGGTCGCGAAGGTGTGCGGTCTCCCGTCATGGCACAGAAGGGCCTGTCTACCGGCCTGCACCAGAGCGAGATGATCTGAACCCCCCCCCCCCCCCCCCCCCAAACATCCCTAATTATCATTACACACAACACGTTCCGATTCGTTGCATGGCGATAGGCGTTTTTCGATGAATCTTGATACCATTACTTTTTCAACCCACAGGCGGAACACGAACAAACCACACTCTGCGGTGCGGTGCGACCGTTGCCTGCAAGAACAACAGCAGATTTAGGAGTAGCCTGTTCTGTATACTTCGAGTCCATCCTTCAACAATTTGCTAAGCGCGTAGGAGCGAACATTTTTTACTCTTCTTTTTTTCTTTTTTTTCTACCGCCTTTCTTCCGTGTTTATTGATTTTCTTGCGTTCTTCCTTTCTCAAATGACGACTGATGATAGGCTGGATCTCGGAATGGAGGGGCGGGCGACCATAGCCGCGAGGCAAAATACATGAGTACACGACACCTGTGCCAGGTGGTGGTGTCGGTGACGGACGGGCCGGTCCTGGGAGGGAAGAGAAAAACAGAAAAGCCAGAGGATCTCAGAATGACGGCATCTTGTGGTGAGGCTGAGCGAGAGGAGAGTGTGTGGTGAGAGTGAAAAGAGACCGAAAAGTGCTGGAAACGCGTGCCTTACAATGTTGCCCCACGGCATCTTTGTTCATCTAGTTGAAGGGATGGGGTTTTCCCATCTGTTTTTATTATTTTCTTCTTCTTGTCGCTTGCTCCTAATGTCGTCTGACTCGGGAGCGATTGACGTTATTTCTTTTTAAGTAGATGTGGTACATAGCTGTTCGTCAAGATAAGCGAGGTACAGGATAAATACTAAGAATACAACCTATCTTTTAGTGCGTGCGCCTTTGTAATTATGACTTAAAAGACATGAATCTAACTAGCCAAGTCTTTGATTAATCCTAGCCGACTGGATTAGAGGTAAAAATAGAAAAGGGAAATGTCAGCAGCCAGTTTTGAACCCTGTGTGTGTAGCACTGTGCATGCATTATCATCATGGATAATGCCAAAAATATTGGAGTCGGCATCTCCATCTTCAACCAGTACCCCAAGCCCCTAGCGATCGTAATCCAGCACGCCATGCGACGGTGAAGATACCTCTGCAGAGTGAAACCTCCCTCAAGTGTTATCTTCATTGCTTAGGGCCACTGCAGCGATCGCAGGTTACCCATGCGAGTGAGTGGCCACCGCAGCATTCGCACTGGGCGCCGCTAGAGGGTTCCAATGTGTATGGGGTAGCGGAAGAAGAATAATGAAAGCCTTCAACCATTTGACCATTACAGCCGGTAGTTTTTGACAAACTTTGTCTACAAGTAGTATTGGAAGGGCGGTAAGGAACGTGCACCCACTTGATGAGGTAAGCGAGCTGGCGACAGCTGGGAGGGACACCACCACGCTGCGTGCATGTGCCTGCCATACTCGCGGCGGGGGAGGTTTCCACCGAACACCGACCTGAGAGCTATGAGCTTTTGTCTCGGCTTGTCTTCATCGAAGGTGAAGCCACGATTTTATACTGCGACCCCAGAGCCCTTTTTCGCCCAGGCCCCAATTGGATTCCTCGAGCTGGCGCGACTTTGTACACTCTCAATGGCACCCTAGCGACGGCCTCTCCATACCACTCCGAACCCAGGACCTCCTCACGATGCTCACAACCGCCCCCCGCCTCCACGTCCGGCGCCCCTCGCCAACAACTGCAGAGTTCACAGTCACGACTAGACCGCCCCAGACTTTAACCATCCGTCTCCTCTCGAGCCTTCTGCTCGTCCTCCGCATCGTCGTCTTCCTCTCAACGATCCTCCTCCTCCACGCCGCCTGGTCGCAGTCCCCCTACGCCGCTCCCTACTTCTCCCAGTCGCCGGCGAGGACCCCTGACGAGGCGTTCTTCTCACCCAGCGCCTTCCGGCGGGCCCTACACTTCATCCACGCCTCCGCGCCGGGCCACCTCGCCCACCGTGTCGCCGCGTCCCCCGCGGTGCCCCTCCCCGCCCTCGTGCCAGGCTGCCTCCTTGCGGCCTATGCGACGCTGCGGCGCGAGCACACCACCGAGAGCCTGCTGGTCCTGCGCGGCCTGGGCATCCAGACGAGCTCGACGAGCGGGAGCTACCTCTCCGCCGCGGCGACGCGCTTCATACCCACGGAGAAGATCCAGGACGTGCTCGTCAACGAGGCCTTCCGCGGCTTCGAGGTGCGGTACTACCTGATCGTCGTCGTCGAGGGCGAGGAGGACCTCGTCGTTGTGTTTCCGAGGCTGTTACCGCGCAAAAAGATTGTCGAGACGGTGTGGAGGGGGGTCAGGGGGTGCCTGTGGGAGGCGGATGGGACCGTCAGCGGGAGCAGCAACACTAGAAAGATGGACGAGAGGTGGCAGGGCGGGGTGTAGCCCGGACCGGCAACATAGCCCCCTTTTTAACGAATTCATGATGTTCAATCCCCCCCTTTTTTTTTTCTTTTTTACTGGTTATTTTTGTTTCGTCGCCATGTCTGTGGCCTATTACTACTCATCACCGTCTCCGACCGTCGTAGCGGCGGCGGCGGCGGCGGCGCCCGCCTGCTTGGCGTCCTTGATGACCTTCCTCCAGTTCTTGGACTCCCTCATCGCGTCCGAGTCTTTGAACCCTTTGCGCTGCGCAAACCGGTTGTTGATCTCCTCAGGCGTCGGCGTCAGCTGCTTGTTGGCGATCGGCACGTACCCGCCCGCCAGTTTCCCTTCGTGGCCCCCCTGGAACACCCGCTTCCCCTTGGCCTTGGCCTCGGTGCCCTGCACCTGACCCGAGACGAGGTCCAGCAGCCGGTTGGCCAGCAGCTCGTCCATCTTCTTTTCGCGGTAGTGCGCCCACAGGCTCTCGACGACATCGGCCTCGCCGTGCACCCAGCGCAGGGCGCCCTCGGCACCGGCGGTCGTCCGGCTCTCGGGGTCGCCGGGGAACACGCAGTTCCAGAGCACCAGGGGCGTCTCGTGGGCGAGGTCGTAGTTGGGCTTCCGGGGCGACTTTTCCACGTCGAGGAGCTCCGTAACGAGCTCCGGCCGCTCGAGGCGCTGGCCGACGAGGAAGAGGATGGTCACCATGTGCCGGATCTGGTGCCACAGGAACGCCGTGCCGCGGATGTTGAACGAGTACACCTTGGGCAGCTGGCCGCCGTCGGCAGCACTGCACCCGAGGTACGGCAGCGCCGAGCCGACGTCCCGCACCTCCCCGACGCTGGCCTCGAACATGCGGCGCTCAAAGTTGGTGATCTGCTTGCTGCCGTCGACCTTGCAGAAGTTGCGGAAGTCGTGGTCGCCGACGAAGCGCTGTGCCGCCTCGTTCATGGCCTCGATGTCGAGGTAGCCCTCCCGCAGGCCGCTCGGGGTGCCGTCCGAGGTCGCGGCCGTCGGCGTGAAGGCCGGCTGCGTGAAGAAGTAGCGGTACTGCCGCTCCTCGCAGGAGAAGCGCGCCGAGAAGTCCGGCGGCGGGGACGGGCACCAAGCGGTGATTCGGATGTCGTCCGGGAGGAGGCGGTTGAGCACCTTGACGTACTGGATCTCGTCGTTGATGTCGTCCCACTCCTTTTCGGGCTTCTTCTTCTGCTTCTGCGTCTGCTCCTGCCTCTTCTTCTTCTCTTCCTCTTCGGCGGTCCCTGCCATCGCCGTGTCCCCCTCTTCCGCCTCGGCAGCGGCGGCTTCCTCCTCCGGCTTCTTGGGCAGCGGCTTGTTGCTCCGCACCCGCAGGCCGATGACCTGGCCGAAGGCGCTGACGCCGCGGTCCGTCCTGCCGCACTTGGAGTACTCGCAGCAGTCGAAGTTGACGACGTCCGGGTCCTCGGGGAAGATGAGGCACGCCTTGGTCAGCGCGTTCCACAGCTCGCCCTCGATGGTCGGCAGGCTCGCCGAGGCGGCGTACTCGAAGCCGCCGTAGCGCTTGCCCAGGTACGCGAGCTTGAGGGCGATGAAGCGCGTCGAGTAGCGGGAGGCGTCTATCTTTTTGGCATCCTTCTTCCGCTTCTTTGCCGGGGGCGGGGCGCCGGCGCCGGCGGCATCTGGCATCGCCGTGCCGGAGCCGACGCCGGCCCCCTGTGGTACTACCTATGTCTACGAAGGTATCAGTTACTCGGCATAAGGTTCTATTACGTGCCGTACTGAAAGGAGGAACTAGTAGGCTAACCCTAGCAACAAAGCGCCGGCGAATGGAGTATAGTCAACACCACACTCTGTAATATGGTACATGGGTGGAGACGCCACGTTCTTCTTTCGTTGGCACAGTAATCTCTTGCGCTCAAATTCGGAAACCCCTCCAATTCGGTTAAGCCGCACGGTTTAAACGTGTTTGGAAAAAAAGCCCGGGCAGATGATTGTGGGCACCCCCCGGTTTAGCTTGCTCTTCGGAAAGCATTCCAGTGGGGGATCTCGGTCGAAAAAAGGAGCGTCAGAGAGCCCGATCTGGCGGCGTCACCGGTCTATTGACTCTGCGTAACCGAGATTAACTGAACAACTAGGCCAGTTTTCACCTCAGGATCGACTACATCTGGAGCAGATTACATGAGAACCGCTCGAGCGCTACGCCACCTGGTCATTCTCGCGCGAGAGACCATTGATTCGCTCTAAGCTTTAGCTGTTATCGTACCACCGTGCCCCCAGCTGCCTAAGAACCGACAGCCTTACCCTGTTCAGTCAGGAAGACTTTGGGCTTGCGCGCCGAGGCGTCGTTTTGCTTTTCGAGCGCGTGCTCAAGCTGTCTGATGCGCGCGATGAGGCGGTCCTTCTCCCACGAGTGGTACCTCCCGCTGGCGTCGACCATCTTCGCGATGGGAGCGGTGCTCAGGCGCCGGGTTGTTGCTGGCGTGGCGTGGTAGGGGTAAGTAAGAGGCCGGCGAGTGAGACGGCTGTGGTGATAATTCCGTTGACTAGGTGGGCAAGGGGGTGGATTCCCTCGACGTTCGTGTAAGAGGCCGACTGAGCGTCTGGACAGGATCAGACGTGGGCTTCGCGGGCTTTGAATATAGAGACCCCTCAGTATTTCATGCAAGGGCTTCATGAAGCCCTCTGTTTCCCATATGAGGCCGAATTTTGGAGGGGTCGGCTTTTAGAGCACCGCCATGCGGGTACCTTTCTTACTTCGTTAGCTGCCGCTTTGGAGGGGCAATGCCGCGGAGTCACAGTCGCTGGCAACTTTTGGCGCATGGCTTCTTTCCAAACTTTTTTTTTCTCGCCCCCTGTTGGAAAAAGAAGTGTGGCTTGTGCTGTGTGGCTGAGAGTCTCCACTCTCTAGGCCATTGCTCCCCCAGTCGCTGCGCCATTTGTCACCAGACATCCGTTATCAGAGTGTCACCCGACGGACAATAAGCGTGGCTCATCCAACATGGACGGAGACTCAATCAAAATCTTACTAGTTGGTGATGAAAAATGTGGAAAGACATCGTTCATCTCGTCCGTATGCCCCTCGTGAGAATCCTACGTGAGGAGCCACAGCTAATGTCGCGTTGAACACCCCGAGTAGACGGCTCAGTGCACGCGAAGGAAGCGGCCCCATTACGCTGCTCAGAGACATTGATCAACCGTTTGTCTTCGAGATCAAGCTCGGCCAAAACCCGTACCGTTTGGAGTTCTATGATACAAATAGCCCCGAAAACTGGAAGCTCCTTGACCCCGACATCGTCATCTTGTGCTACGACATCAGCCAGCGGCTCAGTCTCATCAACGTGAGGAGACACGTGAGTTCCTCGTCCCTCCAGCCCTTCACGGTCCATATCTAACATCTGAGAAAGTGGCTCAAGGAAGTTAAGTTGTCCTTCCGCAGACCTGACCGTTTGCCCATCCTCATGCTGGGTCTCAAACGAGATCTGAGATCTGAGGATGACCCCAACGGCATCATTTACCCCCAAGAAGCCTACCAGCAGGCGCAGGAGATGCGCATAGACAGATACATGGAGTGCTCTGCTGTGACGGGGGAGCTCATCAAGCTGGCGTTTGAGGATATCTGTAAAACGGCAGTGCTGACGCGGAAGGAGGCGGGCGGGCAGACGGAGGGCGGATGTGTCGTCATGTAGAGGTTGTTGTCGTCTGCCAGTTGATCATTCGCAAGCTTCACCACCGAGAAGGGGAGGAGACGTCTAAGGGCAAGGCGTGATCTGGAGTGGAATGCGGAGTGCGGTTGGAGATGCCCTCCTAAGCGGCACCTTCGTCGCCGGCCTCCTCCTGTCCCTCATCTTGAGGGAACGTGCCGAGGACTTCGGCAATGATGTTGACCATCTCCTCCTGCTGATTCTCGTCGAAGCGCTCCGACATCTCTTCGATGACGGTGTTCAACGCGGCTACGGACGCGGGCCGGAGGTTGATGATCATGATGACTTCGCCCTTGGCCAGGTCATAGGGACGGAGCCTCTCCAGGAGCTGGGAGATGCAGCCCGGGTGGTAGGTGATGGGGTCCTGGCTCAACGGGTTGGGTGGTGTGCGCAGGTACTGAAGGAGCTAGACCGGATAAGTCAGTACCGAGTCTTTTACACAGGAGCAATACCCAAGACTCATTGGACTGTTTTGGTTTTCTCGGTTGCATGAACATAGCAAGAGAAGAAATCCCAGAAACTTACATCTCTTGCCAGTGCCTCCAGATTGCCAGGGCCGCGACGCTCTCCACGCTTCTTCTGGCCAAGCTTGCGTTCGTCCAAGTGCTGATAGACCTCATAGTTGGTCAGAAGGGCTGACTGAGCCTCGAGGATCTTCATCCTGAAGGTGAGCTTGGCGAGCACTCAAGAAACCAGGTTAGAATCTCAGAGACAAAAGTAGGCGAGGCAGTTGGTGTGCTCAGCGTGGGAATACCCGGCGACGGGGTATCGGCAAACGGAGCTGTAAGCTTGCAAAAGGGCAGAAATGCAGGTTGCGCTTGATGTTTGGCGAAATTTGTCGTGTCGGTGTGCAAGGTGAGGCTAAGCCGACAGCGTCCCCTTGTCCCTGATAGAACAGAACCAAACGGGAGTTAACAGGTCGGGTCACACAACATTGGGCGACGTCTAAGGCGGTTCCTTTTTTTATTTGACCAGGGCTGAACTAACTCTGCAGGGGGAGGGGGAGGGGGGAGAACACAAACACAGGGCACTGTGGACTCCTGCTATGCAAAGTCAGGGTCGGCGTGTGTAGGCGACCAGAGAGTCCGACGCCAGACAAGGTGAGAAGGGTAAGACAGCGATGTAACGTATCGCGGCAATCGGGTTTTATTTCAAAAAAGAGTTTTATAGCAAAAAAAGACGTGACGATACCGAAGTTAGCTAGGAAGGGTTGCTGTTCTGCCGCAAACTCGTTGGATGCCCCGCGTTTGGCAATCACCTGCAAGAGTATCCGTAGAAGGTGGTAAACGGAAAAAGAAAAGAAAAATGTGGCTGCAGCGAGGCGGCCCAAGGTTTCCAATCGCAAAGCCCATTCCCCCACCTGCCATGTGCTAAATTGTCGCAAGGTACGTACCGGATCTGGGATTGCGCAATACTACCTAATGAGAGGGTGGGTGGGAGACGAACGCTGGCGGCTCTCGATTCAGAAGACGGCCGGCGTTGTCTCCTGCACCTCGCTTGCACTAGCTGACTCTCCTTGCATTGAGCAATGGTCTCTAGGTATATGAGCGGTATTTATTTTTCTCCGAGATACGCGTTGCATTGGAATGCGCAATCAGGAAGTACAGATAGTAACTTGGGCTTTTGGGGCATGGGACTGCAGAATGTCTACGGTATATCACATCTCGGATATCAGGAAGAGTCACAGGCGCATCATCATACGTACCAAGGTACGCGTACAAGGCTCATATGCTTGTACAGGTACACAATAAGGCCGTATACACAGTCATTCGTACACAGTCGAAGTAACATGCTCAGTACTCAACACAATATAAGGTTTCTAGATAGAAACACCATACCATGGAACCTCGTACCTAAACCTCCCTATCCGAGGCAGAGCTTTCGAAGATGACTCCCCTATTTGCTATACCATCATTGTACCTACCAAGGCAAGAGTACAAGGCGGTCCTTCCCAAGATCGCACAGGCTTCCGTACGTTCCACAACTCTCATGAACTACAGGCCTCCCTGTATGAAGAATTGTCTCAGCACTGTATGGTGATAAAGGTTTACGCCGCTGAGCCGTCATGACGGCTCTCGAGTCTCGCCCCAGGCCAGGTACACTGACTACCTACTGCGACACAGGTACTTTAGGCATTTCCCGACACCCTCCATGAGGCTCGGCGCGTCTGGCAGACTCGGCAACAGCCCGAAAAAAAACATATTGCATGGCTAAGAGGCATTTTAGCGCAACATCTCTGGCAGAGGCCGGAGTCATGAGAAACACACCAACGATGCGCGCGCTCTAACCTAAAAAGGTCGGCTCTACTAGTAGGCCTAGCCACCCTGTGTAGATACCCTGTGTATCCTCACTTTGTACCCCACCAAGAAACATTCCTACCTACCATCCCCCAAACCCACATGGCACGGCGACTGCACCCGACCCCCAAATTCTGCCAATCCCAAACATACTTACCCACTCAGAGATTTTCCTTTACAACTTCTTGACGACCCCAGCTTCAGAGAAACCCCCCCGCTGATTGACCAGCTATTTTTTTTTTTCTCTCTTTCCTCCTCTCTCTTCTTGAGCTTGCTCATCATGCTCCCGTTGTGATCGCAACTCTCTCTAGAGGCCTTCCCCCTCTTACCTCGCCGTTTGCCCTCGATCCCCCTTCGGCATCGCTATCTTCTCCCAAACCCAACCCTGCGCATACTCTCGGCCTCGGTACATTCCAATCCCCTGTGACGTCGCCCTGCACCCCACTAGCAGATTTTTGACGCTGGGAGCAAACCCGACACCGGCTCTTTCGCTTGCGGTTCTCCAACTGGCACACGACATCCCACCCTCGTACCCTTACTCGCGCCTACATACCTATCTCCTCAAGCCCTCGATTTCCCAACCTACGTATTTCAGAATCACAGATCAGACTCAAACGTCTTTTCTTCCCTCTCCAACCTCAGGCCCAGCCTAGACGAGGTGCCGAACTTGAACTTCGAACATCGCCGGTTTCGCCCGATCGAAGAAAAAAAAAACATCTATCCTTCCCTTCGATATCACACATATCCCACCTAGGAGACCTTGTCAATACCCATCATGGTTCGCAATATTATTGTGCTCGGTGGTAACACCCATCCTGAGCTAGTCAACAGTGTTTGCAACAACCTGGGCCTGAACCCTTGTGAGCGCGTTCTGTCCAAGTTCTCAGTTGGCGAGAGTCGCTGTGAGATCAAAGACTCTGTGCGCGGCAAGGATGTCTTTATCATACAGACTGCGTCTGGCTCTGTCAACGATGGCTTCATGGACCTTTGCATCATGATATCTGCCTGCAAGACCGGCTCCGCCAAAAGAGTCACTGCCGTCATGCCTCTGTTCCCGTACTCGAGACAACCCGACGTCCCCTACAGGAAGTCTGGCGCGCCCCTCTCCAAGTCATCGACAGAAGCCTCCAAGAACTACACCTTCGAGAGTGTGCCTTCCACCCCCGGTCCGGGCATTGCGCGCAGCGCTGGCCTCCCCAACGGCATTGATGGCATTGCCTCTAAGCTAGCCAAGAGCAAGCTCAACGAGGAGCGAACCAACGGCATGAACGGATCATCTGAATACTTCAAGAACGGCGAACATAAGACCAATGGCAACAGCAATGGCAACGGCCGTCCCCACCAGGATTCTGTCTCTTCGCAATTCAGCTACACCACCCACGACTACGAGAACCAGAATCATATCAACGGCTTCCAGTCCAAGCCTGGCTACAAGCAGTGGGTTGCCCAAGCTGGCACACTGGTTGCAGACCTATTGACTTGCGCTGGAGCGGACCATGTGGTATGTAATTTTCTTAAGAACAAAGCCGGCCAATGCATGAAAGCATGCGCCTGGGGCATATAAGATGTTGAAAGCAAAGCTAACAAATGAACAGATCACGTAGGTTTACTCCTTCACCCTCCCCGGGTGTAAAATGCTTTCTTGCGCCTGAGCCTCTATTGTTGCCGACTCCACCAGAGCTTTCTCATACTCTGCCCTACTGCATCCCTACATTGCTTGTGGGAGGAGCAATCGCTAATGATTGCAGGATGGATCTTCATGATCCTCAATACCAGGGCTTCTTCGATGTCCCCGTCGACAACTTGTACGGCAAGCCTCTCATCAAGAGGTACATTCAGCAGAATATCCCCCACTACAAGGATGCTGTTGTTATTAGCCCCGACGCTGGCGGTGCCAAGCGCGCTACTGCCATCGCCGATGAGCTGGACATGGCTTTCGCCCTGATTCACAAGGTAGGTTGTTAAGTTTCCGCAAGAGGGCGCAGAATTCATATGTTTTCAGGAGCGACGCCCGACCAAGTACACCGAGCAGCGCAACGCCAGCATGATGCTGGTGGGCGATGTCAAGGACAAGGTCTGCATCCTCGTCGACGATCTCATCGACACCGGCAACACCATTACCAGAGCTGCCAAGTTGCTCAAGAAGGAGGGCGCTACTCACATCTACGCCCTTTTGACCCACGGTATTCTCAGCGGTGACGCCATCCCGCGTATTAACGCTTCGGCCATCGACAAGATGGTCGTCACCAACACGGTCCCTCAGCGGGATCACATGCGACTCTGCCCCAAGCTTGAGTACCTGGACGGTGAGTTCTCAGCTGGACCCGCGGGTGTCTGAACTTGTGCTAAATTGCGGCAGTCTCCCCCGTCTTTGCGGAGGCCATTCGCCGTGTCCACCACGGCGAGTCCATCAGCGTCCTTTTCCAGCATAATTAAAAGCATACCACATGGCGTTTGAAAAGAAAAAGAACATCAACTTTTGCATCGGAGGGTTTATTGGATTCCAACAACTGCTTTTAGGGAACTTAAGCAATCGTGATTGCTGCTTTTACTGGCGTTCAGTACGGGGAGGGGTGGGTCGAGTCTAGCATATTTTCCTGCCATGGACATTCTAGACGTTTCCTCCCCTTTTTTTTTCTACCGGATTATCCACGACATATCAGCTCGTTTTCCACGGGAAACAGAGCGATTTGAAGGCAGCCCCATTCGGCTCGCCATATTGCTACACACATGACACAAGGAGGTACATGGGACCTCATCGGTAACGATGAGGGGCTCTATGTGGAGCGGACCCTAAGAGCGATGCTGGCTCGATACGGCGGCTTTGCTATACACAAACTTTCAAGTCTAGATGGATCTCGCACACACATACGCACACACACTTGTCTCTTTTCAGTCTCTGCGAACTTGGACTCTTTCCTTGATATTATGGGGACTTGCTTGTAGGGGAGGCAGTGGAGAAGTGGGTGCGCAGTAGTCTTGTCGCTTCTCGTCCACACAGAACAAGAAAATCACCGTAGAAAAATGGCCCGCCGCTCGTGAACCGTGAGCGTGCTCGTAGACCCTCCGTGACATAGAAGATAGACTATAAATCTAGCAATTAAGATGTACCAAACCTCTGTCAGTTTGTGTTGAGGGTTCAAGTGTTTTCGGTAATGCTCGAGTACCGCGATGCCAGTATCTATCTTCACGGGTGAAAATAAACCTTCGATGTCTGTGGGCCGATGTTCAAATCATGATCCAATATTCCACATCATGTAAGTTAGGGTAATAGGCATCTTGCCGGCTGCTGCCGTAACAAGTCCGTCCCCTTTCAAACAATAACCTTAAGTTGCCGGCCGCCTTATTGGCCGCACCTGGCGCTCTGCGGCTTTACGTGGGTAACGTTCCGAAAGAAATGGTCAGCCACCGGGGAAACAGACAACATGGCTCCAGGGGCCCATTCAATGTTCGAGCGAGAGGAAACGAACGAACACGAGATAGTGTTCCAGAGTGCAGCATCGGTATCCCCCAACAGTGACACCATTGGAAATAAGAGTAATACCAAGTTTTCGAGAGATGCCACGCTGAACCAAGACACGGACAAGGATGTTGTGGCGAGATTCTTAAAGCGCCTAGGTTCTCCAAAGCCAAGAAATGCCCTCTCAAGTCCCGCTCAGCCCCCACCAAAGGCCCCCGTTTCGCGGGGTACATACCGGTCGCTTATCTTATCGGAAGCCAAGCTCATCCTCCCTCCCTCCCCCGCCAACCCCCGAGCTGTCTCTGGCCGGGTCTAGATGCTCACCACCAAACCTCGGCACCGACGTCAGTCGACGAAAGAAACCGGAGCTCTCCCCACCACCACGAAACCCGTAGACCCGGCCGATCTCCCAGTTTCCTGAGAGAAGGATTGCAGCTGGAGACATCTTCGCAATGGCGACGCTCTCCGGCGCAGAGCGCATCCGCGCCATCACCGACGAGGACGGCATGTTCAAGGCCTTCGACACCTACCCCTGGAAGAAGGACAAGGCGTTTATGGTATGAGTGTTGCTCCGTCCCGGGGAGACACGTCCTCCGCCTCCGTTTTCTAAAGGGAGGGAGAGAGAAAGAGGAAAAGAGAGACTAATTGCCCCCGCCCCAAAGTCCGGCCTGAACGCGATCCTCGGCGACCCAAATACCGAGAACCCCCGGGGGTCCCCCTCCGACCTCGCCATCCACGCCCGCATCTTTTACTACGCCCAGCGCATCGGCGTCGCCATCGACTTCGCTAGGTACCAAGACTGGATCGCGAGGCACCCGGCCCACACGCCCCCCGACATCCTGCCCGAGGAATACAAGGCCCGGGACACGCGAGACGCTGCCTCGGCAGACGACATCCCGGGCCTGACCTCGAAGCTGGGAGACCTGAGCACCGGCAAAGGAAAAGAAAAAGCCGCCGACGCCGACGTCGTCGCCGCCTCGGAATCAACGCCATCCTGGCAAGCAGCAGCCCCGAAGGCAGACCTATACGTCGAGCGCAAACCGCCCTCACAAGCAGACGCCCCGTCCCCGGGGGGCGACGAGCCCGCGTACCCCATTGGATTCGCGCAGATGCTGGAGATGATTCAAAAGGGGATTCCTATCCCTGGCATCAGACAGATCCCAGACACGGTCGTCAGAGACGCGGTAGGTTCCCTTCATTGCTTCCCCCTTAACTCTTCCCCCCTTCTTGTCCCATTACCAGCTGACTCTTTAGTCTGTCAAACCATTTGGAAAACGTGCGGTACCAAAGAAACCTTGGGAGAAGGATACATCGGCTGCAGAAGTCACCGCGGGCGAGGCCGAGAGGCATCCTATGGTTGATGCTGAATTCCCGCAATTGGACGATGTGGCAGCGCCCGTGGCTGAGATTTCAACTAAAGAGACGTGAACCCTTGGCAAAGTGTCTGGGTTATCTTCAAATTTATTCGTGCGGCGTTTGGTAGAAAGGAATGATATTCGAGTGAAAGGCGGCGTTAGACACTGGTTCGAAGAGACAACGAGGCTTCTGGGGGGAAGCTGTGTCTAGTCAATGACCTAGTCAAGGAAACAGAAACTTTTTAAAGGTGCACATTCTAGGAGAACTATCTAATGGCTGGTTGAGGACTGCCACAGACACTGTCCAATTCGGACCAATGCCACACTCCAAAGTCTCTGGAATGTGATACTTACTACATACAATCATTGCCGTTGTCTTTCTGATATTCCATGCTTGCCCACTCGTCCACCCTGGCGCTCCTCCAATTTTTCCTTTCCGTGAGCTGATTAAACTAAGGACGTATCAATTGAATACTTGGATGTGTCAGTGAGCCGTCATGTATAAATGAGAGCATTCTGGGTAGGGCCTCGTCGTGCAGGTCCAACACCCAGGCAGGGTTTGTTCGAGGACCACACCGGCGCACCTCCTCCATATTGCAAAATCCATAACCATGATGTGTCCAATGCACTCTGGCAGGTGATAACCTACCGAGCGTAGGATGACAGCTGATCTGTAAATTAATGGCCGAGGAAGATGTTTCGTGAGTGCGGACAAATGAGGTGTTGCCGTGACTTCGTCAGAGTGGAAGGAAATCGATGAAGTGTGAAAGAATCAAAGGGAAAGAGGAACCACAGAGACATCGTAATAGCAGCTGACGGGTGTTCGTAACAGTTTCGAGACCTTCGTGACATGATTTAACGGTAGCCGCCACCAGGACCACCATAGCGAGGACCAGCGCCCATCCGGTTCATGCTAGGACCAACTCCAGGACCAGGACGAGTCGCGACGGCTGGGTTAGTGCAAAGCATACCAACACGGGAGCCGAACTTGGATCCCCGAAGGGACACCATGTGCTTGCGTATGTGGGCAGCAACCACCTCGCGATGCTGCATGCCGGAATGGGTGAGGATGTACTGAATAAGGTAATTACCGTACTGATCACTGGCAATGTCGACAAGAGGGATACGAGGGCGGTCAAGTCGTCCCTCGCAGACTCGGTCGAGGTAACGGCTGAGAAATTCTCCTCCACCAATCTTGAGGCACTTCTCGACAACCTTTGAGGCATACTGGTCGGTGCTGTACTCGGCAGCGTAGCGAATGACATGGTCAATGGCACGGCTGCGGTCAGCCGGCGCGCCATGTTCGCAAATGTGCTGAATACACCAGTTTCCGAATTGACCATGGGCCACAATGTCGATGTTGGCAAGGACCTCCTCGATGCAAGGACGCTGGACTTTTGGTAAGCACTGTATTTTCTGGAGCAAACATATGGCAACATACCTTGTCTTCCTCAAGGCAATTCTCAAAGATGTTCTGGACAACCAAGCTGCCAGTCTCACCCAAGGCGACTTCGTGCCACATGCCTCGCAGGGCATCGTTGACAAACTTCATGATCTGAGGAGGGGACTCGGACCAGCGAAGCTCGAAAAGCTTTTGCCAGACGTGGCAAGCATAGCGGTGAATGACGGTCTCGGGAATTCGGCGAAGGAGTTCTTGAACCATGATACTCTTGTAGTCCTCGGGGACAGAGTCAAATGCCTTTTGCACAACATGACATCCGAAAGGGTCCATGGAAAGGTTGAGAGTATTGCCGCGAATGGCCTCAGCGATCTTGACCACCTGCTCCGGGGTCCCATGCTCGAAGCAACGTTGAACGAGGAAGTTGCCGAAGCGGTTGACCATGAGAGGGTATGCTTGAGCGACAATGGCCTCGACGATCTCGTACTTCTGGTCTGGGGTGCCGACCTTAAGCTTTTGCTGTAGAAAGATAGACGCCTGCTGGTCGTTGTTGCAGACAATTTTGTCCACAATGTACTTCCAGTTACAGTTGACATTGCGGTCCAACAGCCGACGGTAGTTGAGAGGTTCAGTAGTTGGGAGGTATGTCTGGCCCTCGGTGGCGATAGACTATTTGCAATCACAAGTTAGCTCGCTGGGTCTTGTTTTTTCACTCTGGCTCCCCCGACGTACCTCCGTCTTCCATCCATCAGTAGTGGTGAATTCGGTTGCGTGAGGCGAGAGTTGACTGCCAATGGGCTGCTGATTATAGCTTTGGTACATGCCAGAACCAATATTGCCGGTGGTGCTGCCCGGGCCTCCGCTCATGGCCTCGAACGGAGCAGGGGAAGGTGTGAAGCCGGCATAGTTCTGACCACTAATGTTGGATCCGCCGTACGGTTGAGGGGAGGGCCATCGACTGTTATCGAACCGGTTGTTCCGGCGACTGCTAGGGGGCCGTGAGAAAACCTCAGTGTCATAGCTTGTGCGATCACCTCGGTGACCGTCCGCCATGGAGTAGGGGCCAACAGGATCCATGTAGCCCTGGTTGAAACCACCACGGCCACCTCCGTACCAATCACCTCCAACTGACTGTGAATCGGATGAGGGTGTGGGCATGACATGATTGGAAAAGGGAGGGGGGCCTCTGTGGCTAGCCCAGGCAGGGCGAGAACGGCCGTACCCGCCGACAGAAGGGGCGCCAACATCTGAGGAGCTGTCATCGTTCGGGCTCCAAGGGTTCTCGGCCCCGAACATGCCGGAGCGGGCTGACGTCTGAGGGATTGGAATGTCTTCTTGCTTGATGGAGCGTGACTGCGCAAGTTCGTGGTCGAGACGAGAAATTTTGGTCTGAGCTCGAGCAAGCTCCAGCTTGAGTCGGAGAACCTCTTCCATGTTACCGTGATTCTCCTTAAGGGTGGCACTGGCTGGGCGGGTTGCAGGGGCAGTCGTGGGGAACGTGTCCGTCGCGGGAGTGATGGGAACGGAATTGGTCGTTGCGGTAGACTGGTCGAAACCGCGCGTGTACAAGCTCTTGTCATCCGAGCTCTTCAAGGCCTCATTCTGCTGGTCGAGGGCGGCTTGCTGCTCCGACAACTTGGCGAGCAGCATGTCCATAGGGTTCGTGCCAGCAACAGTAGCCGACTCCTGATTGGTCTTCTTCTGTCGTCGCTGTGAGCGAGAGGGCAGATTGCGAGTGGAAGAACCAACCTTAAGAGCATTCTGATTGACAAGCTTGGAGGTACCAAGAGTTACAATGGTCGGCTTCTGCTTGAAGGCTGGGACATCCTTGGATTATTGTCAGCTCGGTTACCCATCACGCGTGTTCCTTGATTCGTAGTAGGGACCTGGGTCGCTAAGGCAGTCGACGACCAGGCATGACGGTTGTCAAAGGGATGGCACGTACCTTGGCAGCTACCTCGGGAGACTGCTTGCTGTTCTCCTGGAGGCGAGTCTCCTGAAATCCCGGAGAGCTTCGCTGGGGGATGACACCCGTAGAGGGAGGTGTGGACATCGCGGCGCTGGGTACAATGTCTTGTCGGAGGGTCGATACTTTACAGTAAATAGGCAGGGGTATTGTCCTAAGGTGGCAGACAAGATGGGAAAGATTCCTTTGTAAGGGATCGCAGATGAAGAACTGCGGATGGAGTTTTCTTACTGCAGTGGAGTGAGAGGTTTTGTAGTGGTTAGAGGTGGAGAGAACTGAGGATTTTGTTGTCGAAATTTCGGGAGGAGATGAAGTAGAAGGAGGAAGGAGCGGAAGGCAACGCAGGGAAGGAGTAAGCTTGGATATGCCAGGTATCTTTGCTCGAAGCTAGTTGCCCTATTTCCGATTCCAACTCGGTAATCGCGAGGTAGCGAAGGGATGCTTTGCCGCCAGGCTGAGTCCAAGGTGAAGTAGGTGTGATGTACCGTTGAGTTGATCGGAGGAAAGACTCGCTATTGCCTTTGTGGAAGATTGGAAGGAGATCGCCAATCAGCAGCGACAGCCCTAGCTCCTCTCTTCAGGGGATAACTGGACAAGACAGGTACGTTGGCGCCTGTCTGAACTTTCTGTGATTTGAAATGCCTGGTGATCGACCCCGTTGTCCCAGTGAGCGAGAATCATACGCTGCCCGACAGGTAGCATTACATACAGCACTGTGTGGTTATTGCCATCAGACAGAGCCTGGCTCTGTTTGCCTTAGATACGCTGCCTCCAGACCAACAGGCAGGTGCCTCTTTTGCAGCATTACCAACTCGAGGCATCGCGAATCATGGCCTGAGAAATATTTGAGGTTAATATCGGAAAGATAGGGCTTGCCTTCTTCTCAATTAATCAGCTAGCTGAATGCAACCGAGAAGAATCGACCACATTACGCCACGAACATCAGCCAGTCGCAAATTTTGAAATAGGTACCCAAACATATACTTCAGAACAAGCCTGCGTAATCCATAGCATGCTTGTGACTTTTAGCATCGACATACTCCATGTTATGTTTTTTTTTTTTTTACATCGCATGCCCTTTCTACAAACATCCTTCTATAACGCGCCCCCTGACCGTGAGCCGCAGCACCGTCTCTCCGGGTGTGGTGTTTCGTGGTTCCTAACCTGTCCATATACCGCACGATAGTCGTCGAGTCGGGAAATCGCTTTGGTTTTGGGGGATAGACGGAAGCTATCCAAGCATCTCAGTTTACAGGGTAATTCGGCGAATATGGGTCCGGCAATTCATTCAGTAGTTGCACATCGTATCGTACAGACGGTCTCGCATAAGGGTCTCATTTCCTCTTCGGCTCAGCTGCTAGATGGTTAGTACTTTCCTTCGAGAATCAAGGTGCACATTAGGGGAGGAAGAGGGCCTTACGCTTCGATTTCAGCTTCTTGGGCGCACTCTTGCCTCTTGCCTTCAGACTACGTTGTGCGTTAGCAGCAGCTCATTGTCACGTCCCTTCTTCTCAAGCATACCCAGCAATATGCTCCAACCGGTCTAACTCTTCCACGTCGGGAGTCGTGAGTTCAGGGCCAAATTCCCTCTGGACGTCTTTGATGGTGAGCACCTTGCGCGGGTAGTAGGATGCGAGAGTTGGTCCCTTCAGGCGTTGGCGCAGGATCTTGTTTCCCGTTCGTAATCCCTCCGGGTTGAATGTTGTTGCAAAGACTTCGCATTGGACCTATTACATTCAATTAATAAGTAGGTTCTGACATTTTAATATAGCGTCGGGAATTACCCTCATGAGGTCCAACAACCTCGCGCGTGGGACACTCATCTTTGCCTGTATTCTAAGAACGCTGTCAGGCGATCATCGGAAAATTGTCGCGAAGTCGAGCAAGCTTAGCTAGGCAAACCGCGAAGTCCAACGTTGGCCCCACACGGACCAAGCCGCGACGCCCAATTGGTCCCGGATATCGGGTCATTGAATGGCCGACATAGATATCTCTCTCCCCTGTCGCACTGGGGTGCTGGGTGTCCACTCATTGAAGTGTAGCACTAGGCTCCACCGTCCAAAGTGCCCAGATCTTTTTTGTCAATGGGTGAAATAAGCATGTAAAAGTTGCAAACAACGTCACTCAATATTTTCAGCATTCAACTTCTTCTACTGAACATTCTTCGAGTATTATATGGTGTCTCGAGCTCCAAGAGGGGAAATTCGGGAATCATCTGGTGGTCTGAAAACAGCAGAATGAGCAAGCGCTCAAGCTCAGGAGCGCTGCCTCCAAGCAAGCGAAGACACAGAGAACATGAGGCGCTAGGATTACTTCTCGACCACAGCGATGAACTCATTAATTGCCTTCAGACATTGTCCAAATTGAAGTCCGAATCATCTTTTGAGAGTGGGGATTTGCAAAACCTACGACGCCTGAGTAGGAGACTACTACCTTCATTCAAGCAACTGGCTCGCGAAGGATCCGCCCAGGATGAGAAAGAGGGAGAAACCGGTGTAAGCACGATGAAGCTCCCAACACCATCATACCAGAACCCGATCAGTCGATTAACCACTTTAAAAAAGGCCTTGTCAACCAAGAAGGACGAAACTTCGCCGACGCCCTCCGCACCTCCAATTCCTTCTTTCACCCTAGTCACACCATGGACACCCGCAGACATCCCAAGCTCGATGCCACCTCTCCCCAAGATCTCGAACCCAGTCCTAGAGATGGCAGCTTTCACTCATGTTGGTATGGCCAAGACTAAGACCGACCTTAGTTACGACCGTCTTGAGTGGCTCGGAGATGCCTACCTTGAGTTGATCTCATCATCTCTGATCTTTCAGACCTTCGGGGGATTGCCTACTGGAAAATGTTCCCAATTGAGAGAGCTGCTCATCCGCAACTCCAATCTCGGAGAGTACTCTGCACATTACAAGCTCTTCGAAAGGGCCAAGCTGCCCTCCGAGTATAGGCCTAACGGGACCCTGCCCGCCATGGCCAAGCCACACGAGATCCAGAAGGTTCACGGAGATTTGTTCGAGGCATATGTCGCCGCGATTGCCCTCTCGGATCCGGTCTCTGGACTTTCCCGGGCCGCAGAATGGTTGAAAACGCTGTGGGCGAGGACGATCAGAGATCAAATCAGAACCAACGCCCGGGATCCTGGGATGGGGATGGTGAAGGAGCTGGGCGGGACTACGACGGTAGAGACTCAAGTTCCGCCCAAGGTCCGGCTGAGCCAAATAATCAGTGCCAAAGGCATCAATATCCGATACGAAGACATGCCTAGCGCCAACAAGAAGGATAAGTACAACAAGAAATTGGCTCTCTTTACCGTCGGTGTCTATCTGGACGGGTGGGGAGAGAAGAATAAACTCCTAGGGACGGGGAGCGACCTGAACAAGAAGGAGGCAGGACAGAAAGCAGCTCAAATGGCGCTGAACAACAAGAAGTTGATGAAGGTTTACGAGGAGAAGAAAAGGGCGTTCGTGGCAGCCCTTGGGGAGACGGAGGTTGAATCAGCCTGATACGGCTACATTATACCCAAGATACCAATGCCAAATGAGAAGCGATGAAGGTGACAAGCTTGCTGACAGGGACATACGGACGAGACCGTTAAGAAAGGACACGCAACTACAGAACGAAGAAGGCCGACGGCCCATGCGGGAGCAAACTAGGGTCAATGCGTGATCACGAAGGATGTCAACTCGGATGATTTGAATCTCTGCAAAGTCCCGTGCGTACTCTAGCCGAGTCAAGTCGAGTCATCGGATGCCAAACAATGAGGCACCTCCGCAGAAGCGGTGCTGGCCCCAGAAGCCTCGGCTCAGTGCCAGCATGGCAGTCAATATCAATTGACGCAAGTCCAAAACAAACCGATACTCGATGGTAAATCATTGCATTGCACGTGCCTCTTTATCGTGGCCGACACGACAGCCGCAAGACGGCTAGTCACACTTGCTGAAGACGCGGGGTGATGGCGGGTTGCTAGCCAGGATCTCGGGGAACCACAACCCCCTGACAGGCCCCCCCGTCGGGCCCCGCGCACCCACGTCCACTCTAACCCCAGCTATGTACACCTTCCACGAGTCACTACTATGTAGGTAGTTGCGTGGGTGGCCGAGGCAATGACAATTACCTACAGCGCGCAACCCGACACAGGCATTCGACAGCTGATTGCCGGATACCAACTACTCTGCCTCGCCCATTACCGACCGTGGTTCTCCTGCCAGCATCCTCGCTACCCACCCAACAGACCCCTTCTTTTCGTTGGACGACGAGAAAGAGAACTTTCCATGGAGGAGCTTTCGCATAAACCATGTCAGCGTGTAGTCTTTAACTGCTCTTTTCGCCAGCGCATGTTGCCCCCATCACCCGTTTCAGCTCCCGCGGCCAAGGTACCTCGCTCTATCTTGGATTCTAGGTGAAGGGGGAACCCACCTGCATTATCTTTAGCTGGTGTTGTTAAGCCGAACCACACCGAATCCCCCGATCCAACCAACCCGAATCACCTCGGATACACGCCATAAACGCGTCTTTCCCTCCCTCACCCAAGTTTTCTGGTTCAAGGATAGCCTTCTAGATGGCTGACTCCGTGGGTGAGTTACGAAAGAAAACTTTACCACCGCCCTTTTGTTGTGGAGAGTAATTCCCCGGCTAATTAATGCGATTATGCTTCCTCTCCAGATCGCGTGTTCGTCCATGCCTTAAATACCGTGAAGAAAATCCCCAAAACAGGGGCCTCGCGCCCCCCGCCTTCCGACAGGTTGCGACTCTATGGCCTCTATAAGCAAGCGATGGAGGGGGACGTTGATGGCGTCATGGAACGACCGACCTTGGCTTCCGGCCTGCCTGCCGACGAGCTTCAGCGCGAGAAGGACAAGTGGGATGCGTGGAATATCCAGAAGGGCCTGAGCCGCACGGAAGCAAAGAAAAGGTATATCGAGGCGTTGATCGAGACGATGCACAAATATGCAACGACACCGTAAGCCCATATCTCTCCTCTGCCTTGGTCATTGGCGCATCGCGGCCCTACTGACACATCGATGCAGAAACGCCAAGGAACTCGTCGCGGAACTCGAATTCGTGTGGAACCAGATCAAGAACAACAGTCCCAGCTCGACCGACTCGTCGCCGAAAGACATGAGGTACATCGGCGGGTTACGACAATACCAGCACCCCTTGCTCGAAACCGAAGGTCCGCTGAAAGTTCTGAGCCCCATGAGCGAAGACGACGCTGCCGAACAGGACCCGGTGGGGAGGATAGGTTTCAACCAAGACGAGGAAGCAGACGCGCTTGTGAGAAGCAGTAGCTGGTCCCGGAGCGTGGAACGAGCCTTGGAGAAACTCTCGGCCGAAGTCGCGGCATTACGAGAGCAAATCACAACAGGAAGGGAGTGGAAGTCGAAAAGGTCACGAAGCTTTCCTGCCTGGATACGATGGCTGACTTGGTTGATAATGAAACACCTCGCCGTCGATGTGGTCCTTTTGGGTTTCATTCTCCTGTGGATGCGCAAGCGCAAGGACCGGAGGTTGGAAGACTTGGTCCGGGCGGGGATGAAGTTGATGAGGGAGTACGTAAGGAACTTCTTGCCATCTAGATGACAACTTTCCGATGGTTGGTGAGAGGCGCAGCCTACGACCGGAACGCCACCGATGTGGCTCTTTGCATCCTGACCACAGCATCGACCTGAGCAGGGCCACATCTGCCACCCGTCCCCAGTAGAGCTGAAAGGCTTGCGCGACTTGGACGCCAGTCCAAGCTCGGCTTACTCCAGAGAGCATGCGAATGCCGTCCTGCGGCTGCATGCTCTAAGTCTCATTATAAAACGTGGAGATCACATATGCGTCTCCCATATTGATGGCAGACGAATAGCTCCTGGGAGACGATTTCATGACCACGCCTCCAACCGGTTCGGCACCAACGGGATCGAGTTAGAGAGGACGCCACTGTATCATGGATGGCGCTCAAATGCCGAGCCGAGCGTATTAGCTGAGTCTCGGGGCGAACTACGCAAACGATTAAAGCTCTCCATAGATCTACATTTTTAATGTGTCAGGAGAACCCTGCATACCTTGTGTGTTATTCTCGTGCTTGATAACTGCGAACGCGATTTGAGTATTGCGTTATTATTCAACGTGCCTTCTCTTTTGATGATGCCCTCTTACGTGTTTACACTAACATGACGCCTACAAAGCGACATCGGCCGGAATCAAGGAGATCCTAAATAGGTACGCATGTGCATCACTAAGCAGGCATTTCGATAAATGTTTTTGCAGGCTTTTTTCTTTGCGAGGAATTGAAGAGGCCGCGAGGTTAGAACAATGTGAAGTACCCGACCAGAGGCGTGGAACCCTAGCCTAGCTATTTGCTTTCGTATCCTGGTCTATTCGCTCAGATCTCAACTTCATATTTTCACACCTCACTCGACCACGTCTAATACACTACAACGAGCAAGCTGAAAATTGCGTCGTCGTTCCTTCCCATAGCCACAATCTGGCGCGGTATCCATTCTCACTGAAACATACGATCATTGATGGACAAGATGCAAGAGAGTTCAGGCAATACGGCAGAAGCACCAGAGAAGATGCACCACGGCAGTGACTCCCCGGAAGAGGAAGACATACCGATACTTGTACCAGGCGCCCCGGCGATGGCGATGTTTGTCCCCTTGGAAGAGAATCTTTTCGAGCCCTTCGATGTTCCCCAAAAGAAGAGCGACCGTCTGAGGCTCTCTCAGCAAAATATCGAGAAGCACACAGCTGCCGTAGAGCAGAACATTAGGTACATATACGAACGGGAACATCGGCGTATCCTACAGCACGCAAACAAGTTGGAGGCGACCAATGGCGTCTTCGAGATCACCACAGGCCTTATGCCGGGTGAAGAGGAACTCATCATGGAATACGTGAACGCACCGATTCCTCGCGATGCCGACTACAGCAATCGTCACTTGTCAACGTACGCATACCCCGAAATCCCGGGCGATTTGCCGCCGAGGCAGGCGGCACTTCATTGGTCGCTTTACAACGCCGGCCAGGCCCTGGTGCAACTAGGAGGTTATGCCACTCATGCGCAAGAGATCAAGAACCACTACAAGGCAGCCTTGGAGAAGGAGCTCGCGCAGGAGGAAGCATCTGCCAACCACAGACAGGACGGTGGGCCTGCTCGGAGCGAGAAACGACAACGCATAGCGTGAGCAGCGACGGCTTCTTTAGCCAAGGCGGCGTGATATCAGGCGAGAGGCCAAAGCCAAAACCAGACTCTTGTCACGTCTGAGACCAGCTCATCCATGGTCCATGACAGCGACTCGACAGAACGGGTCGTGGGTACAACTGCTTTGTACATACGAATCACAAGATACCAACAAATACATATGTACAGTCTACACATAGTCTCATCGTCACCATGATATGTAACGACCGGCGGTAAGAGGCAACGGTCATTGAAGAGTTCTCCCATGCTTCCATAAACGGCGTCAAAATGATTCATCTAGGTACACTAGATAGAGGAAGGCTCGATTGGAGCATCTTGCGATGCTCAAGCTCACCTACGATAAGTGTCCATATACAATTTAAAGTGAAGAGGAAAAAGAGAAAGAGCGCTCTGCGACGAAATTTTCGGAGAACTAAATGGTCCACGGAGGAGTTTCTAGGTGCCTCAGGCGGCAAGGAGCTCCCGGGCTGGAGGGCCAATCACCATCGATGTAAATTAATCGCGAGTTCCGCACTAGCGCCACCAAATCCCCATGGCCCGGGACAGAAGAGCAGTTCCTCCCGACGTCAACGATTGAATATCAATCCGCCCTCCCACCACAACGCCCTCCCCCGTCCCGTCTGAGTCTCAATCCGTCAAGGCGACACGATGCTGCGGCATTCTCTAGCACGTTCGGCTTGGCGGACTGGCAAGCAGGCCGCCAATGCCTCGCGAACTTTTGCTACCACGGCTCGCAGGAACGCCGAAGTCGAGCTCACAGTTGGTATGGACGAGCTCGCCCTTGAGAAGGGGCACCAATTGGTTTCTGGGACAATTGCTGACGAGAGATGCAGACGGAAAGAAGGTGTCAGTCGAAGGTGAGATGCGATGTGGCCCTGTCCGGGTATTCCTGCTCACGACCTCCTAGCCGGCTCTGCCCTGATCCAAGCTTGCGAAAAGGCAGGCGTTACAATCCCTAGGTTCGTTCAGTCATTAGAAATACAAAATGAAGACTGTGACTGACTTAAAAATAGATATTGTTACCATGAGTACGACTCCGTCGACCGAAGCTATGGCCGTTGCGAGGGATGATCCCCGACTGACAAATCCAACAGAAAGCTCGCGATCGCCGGTAACTGCCGTATGTGCTTGGTCGAAGTCGAGCGCGCCCCGAAGCCCGTAGCCTCCTGCGCGTGGCCCGTCCAGCCCGGCATGGTCGTCAAGACCAACTCCCCCATTACACACAAGGCCCGCGAGGGTGTCATGGAATTCCTCCTCGCCAACCACCCCCTCGACTGCCCTATCTGCGACCAGGGTGGTGAGTGTGATCTCCAAGACCAGTCGATGCGATACGGTGGCGACCGTGGTCGTTTCCACGAGATTGGCGGCAAGCGTGCCGTCGAGGACAAGAATATCGGCCCCCTCATCAAGACCTCTATGAACAGATGCATTCACTGCACACGATGCGTTCGTTTCTCCAACGACGTTGCTGGCGCCCCAGAGATGGGTTCTTTCGGCCGTGGCAACGACATCCAGATCGGTACCTACCTCGAGCAGAACCTCGACTCCGAACTCTCCGGCAATGTTATCGACCTTTGCCCCGTTGGTGCTCTCACCTCCAAGCCTTACGCTTTCCGCGCGAGACCCTGGGAGCTGAAGCACTCCGAGTCCATCGATGTTCTTGACGGTTTGGGATCTAACATTCGTGTCGACTCCCGCGGCCTCGAGGTCATGCGTATCCTTCCCAGACTCAACGACGATGTTAACGAGGAGTGGATCAACGACAAGACTCGTTTCGCCTGTGACGGCCTGAAGACCCAGAGACTGACCATGCCCTTGATCCGCCGTGAGGGTAAGTTCGAGCCCGCCGACTGGGAACAGGCCCTTACCGAGGTTGCCAACGCCTACCACCACCTCCAGCCTAAGCCCAACGAATTCAAGGTCATCGCCGGTGAGCTGACTGAGGTCGAGTCTCTGGTTGCTATGAAGGACCTGGCCAACAAGCTGGGCTCTGAGAACCTGGCCCTTGACATGCCTTCTGGAAGCAAACCCATTGCCCACGGTGTCGACGTCCGCTCCAACTACCTGTTCAACTCCAAGATCTACGGTATCGAGGAGGCTGACGCCATCCTCATTGTCGGCAGCAACCCCCGTCACGAGGCCGCTGTTCTCAACGCCCGCATCCGCAAGCAATGGCTGCGCTCCGACCTTGAGATCGGCGTTGTTGGCGAGACATGGGACTCCACTTTCGAGTTCGAGCACCTTGGCCTCGATCACGCTGCCCTCAAGCAGGCCCTTGCCGGTCCATTTGGCAAGAAGCTGCAGTCTGCCAAGCGCCCCATGATTATCGTGGGCTCTGGTGTCACCGACCACGTTGACGCCAAGGCTTTCTACGAGACCATTGGTGCCTTCGTTGACAAGAACGCTGCCAACTTCATCACCCCTGAGTGGAACGGATACAACGTTCTCCAGAGAGCCGCTTCCCGCGCTGGTGCCTTTGAGGTCGGTTTCGTCACTCCCTCGACTGAGGTTGCGGAGACCGCCCCCAAGTTCGTCTGGCTTCTCGGTGCCGACGAGATCTCCGAGAAGGACATCCCCAAGAACGCCTTTGTCGTTTACCAGGGCCACCACGGTGACCGCGGTGCCCAGCTTGCCGATGTTGTTCTCCCTGGTGCTGCTTACACCGAGAAGGCCGGCACCTACATCAACACCGAGGGCCGTGTCCAGATGACCCGTGCCGCCACCTCCCTCCCCGGTGCTGCCCGTACCGACTGGAAGATCATCCGTGCCGTCAGCGAGTTCCTCGGCGCTCCTCTGCCGTACGACGACGTTGCTCAGCTCCGTGACAGAATGGCTGAGATCAGCCCGGCCCTGGCGGCTTACGATGTGGTTGAGCCTGTTGCCCTGCAGCAATTGAGCAAGGTCCAGCTCGTTGACCAGAACAAGGGCTCCAAGGCCAGCGGTACGCCCTTGAAGAAGGTCATTGAGAACTTCTACTTCACAGACGTCATCTCAAGAAGGTTAGTCGACACACCTTCCCACTTTATTCAGTATCGTGCTAATATAGTCTCAAGCTCACCGACAATGGCCCGCTGCTCCGCGGCCAAGGCCACCGGCAACCCCAAGACCAACTTTATGGCGCCAGGCATGGAGGAGGACAGGCCAATGGGTCAGATCGAGTACGGGGCATGAGGGACAGGCTGTACGAGTACGACTGCTGTGGAGAAGAGTAGAAAAGAAGGCTCCTTTGTTTGGGATGAATGCATTGCTTGTACATAATAGCACGCGTGGGTTGAAGGAGGCGAGTAGTTGAAGAAAGTAAATAACTTCACCTGAGTGCCATGTGACGATGCGGCGTATCCCAGGCTGTTCTATTATAGTGTTCAGGCGTAACGTTATCATGATGCACAACTAGTGGGACTTACTGCTCATGCCCTAACACCTCGTACCAAGGCGAACGTATGGTGCCATGAGACTAGCGGCGAGTGAAGGGACGTATTTTTGTACACTACCTGCCAAACGTTGGCATAGTGTTGACATCTGATGTCGACGGCAAGACGTAAATCGGCCATGCTTCTCAGCGGCGGCACTGGTTTACCCAGTTGGGATGAAAGTTGGTCTACTCCACTGCTGTGGAGCCACATACTGACGAGCGATTGGATGTATGACCGCAACGATTGTTCATATGTCTATAGCAACTGGACACTGTGATTAAGACATGAGTCTCTGAGGGGGGGGGGGCGAGATATGTTGCTACCTCTTGACCATGTGAAGAATACTGAACGTGGGCAGGGTGAATGTTCAGAGGCTGTTGCCTGTTAACAAACCAATCCGATCCCTGAGTCCTTGACATGCTCTGTGCGGCCAGAACGTGGGGATTTTGATACTAGATGGTATAAAGTCTATATGGTGCAACGAAATACACACAAGAGGATGATGATTATTCAGTGAAGCTCGAGGAACTTTGATGATATGCTCATGAAGTATCATAAAATGGCTCGTTACAACGATTGAGGCAACTCTAGATCTTCTCATCTATGAGCTGCAGCTGCACTGGATAGCTCTCTTCATCTTGGGCACATCCCCAACCCACCTCTCCTCCTCCGCCTTGTCACCCTTGTACTGCCGCCCCTCGATTTCCTTGCCGTCCCAGCTGTCCTCAAAGGGGTGCAGCGCCATATGCATGACCCGCCGCAACACGTCCCTCTCGCCGTCCTTCTCCACCCGCTTGATGATCTCGTCGAGCACCCACCCGCGCGGCACGAAGTTGGGGTTGACGGCCTTCATCGCCTTCTCCCTCTCAGCGTCGCCCCGTGAGGCGTCGTCCTCGCCCCAGTCCTCGACGACGCGTGCGCGCCACTTGCCCAGCCACGCGCCAACGTCCGCACGGCCTTTGGCTTCGCCGCCCGCGACGCCATCCTCGGCGTGGAAGAAGCGCGCAGCCGTCTTGCGGCAGGCGTCCTCGTCCGCGATGTCAGAGAGCTTGACTGAGCTGAGGCGCCGGAAGAAGTGGTTGAAGTCGAGCTCGTGCGACTCCATCGTGTCCAGCAGATTGCTGAACAGCTCGTCAAAGTCGCTCTCCTTGAAGGTCTTGAGCCCCAGGCGCTGCGCCATGAGGCGCTTGTACTCGGCCATGAAGAGCGCCTTGTATTCCTCACCGACCTGCATGATGAGCTTCTCCGCCCGGGCCACGAGAGCCTCGGCCTGGCTTTCCTCGACGCCGTTGTTGACGAAGGCGTCCTCATCCACGCCGGCACCGGCGCCGATCAGCTCGCCCAGCGCCTCACCGAAGCGTACTAGGTTCCACCAGATGATGGTCGGCTGGTTGCGGTAGCTGTACCGCAGGAGGTGGTCGTCGTGGTTCGGGGTGTAGGCCGGGTCGAAGTTGTCCATGAAGGCGAAGGGGCCGAAGTCGATGCTCAGGCCCGCGACGGAGGTGTTGTCCGTGTTGAGCACGCCGTTCATGAAGCCGTAGGCCTGCCACTTGGCGACCGTCAGGGCGTTGCGGCGGGCAACCTCGCGGAAGAGCCGAGTGAAGCGGTTCTCGCTCGAGTCCTCGGGGCCCTGGACTTCCGTCGCAGGCACGCCGCGGGCGGGCTCGAGGCACTCGGCCGGCTTGTCTGGGCTCGCAAGGCGGGCGGGGAGGGTCTCCCAACCGCCAAAGACGTCTTCGGCCACGTACGTCGCTAGGGTACGGATCATGGCGCGGTCGCCCCTCGCGCGGGGGAGGTCGAAGTTTCCGAGGCGGATCCACGACTGGGCAAAGCGCAACACAATGGCACCGGGCTCGACAGTCTCGCGCCTGACCTTGGACTTTGGGAGAAGTGTCAGGGCTAAAGCGCGCGTGCTGGGGATGCCAAGGGCATGAAGCGCCTCGGATACCACGAACTCGCGGATGCTCGACCGCAGCACCGCCTTGCCGTCCGCGAACCGCGAGTACGGCGTGATGCCGGCGCCCTTCAGCTGCAGCTCGTACCGCACTTTGGACTCGGGGTTCGTCGTCTCGAACAGGGAGATGGCGCGGCCATCGCCGAGCTGGCCGGCCCACTGGCCGAACTGGAACCCGCCGTAGCACTGCGCCCACGGGTACCCGCCCTCAAGCTTCTCCTCGTCCCATCCGTGTAGCCTGTTCCCCGCGACGGTCTGGCGGAACTCCTCCGTCTCTTCGTCGCCTTCCTTGATACCGATGTCGCGCATTGCGGCTGGGCTGACGGCGAGGAGTTCGGGGTCCTCAGCGGTTTCGGGCCGAACCCATGTGAAGGCGGCGTTGCGGACGCCGCGCGGGGCGATCTGGTCGCGCGGGGTCTTGTGGGAGTCGGCCGGGGTCGGGAAGAGGGAGTCGGGCGGGAGGGAGGAAGTGTAAGTCCACGTCTTGGGGAGCTCTGCTATCGGGAGACCACGCCAGGCGGGCGCCCCGTTGGAGAGTTGGGCGGCCATGATGGGTAGTCTGGAGGCTCTGGGGACGGCTCGGCGGGAGAGCAGTCGCGAGAGCATATACGCAGTTTGTGAACGACAATGAAGCGTGTGATACAACTGGTAAGAAACAGCTCTCTTGTGGTACAAGAAGAAAAACGAAACGGGGGTATCGCAGATTCCAGATGTACACTGTAAAAAAATTAAATAAAAAAGGCCCGGAGAAAATTCCGTATGGGAGGGGGGGTATTTGCTAATGATGATGGCGCCAGCCGAATAGGTCGCCCTTTCGGCGGCGCGAGACTCCGAACTTCAGTGGCAACGGACTTTGAGCAATTCGCCGCCATGCTGACCTAAGCCGCCGGAGATGCGCACCTGGATAGAACCTCAGCGTCCACGTCGACGGGTTGCTGGTAGCAACGGGCCTCCCGGTTCCGGAACCATTTGGGATCCCAGATATTCCGACTCAGACCGTACGGATACCTTCAACCCCTTTTCATCTGTCAATGCCTTTTCAGGGGTCGTAAGGTTTGTCCCCTAAAAGTTTGCTGAGAGCCCAGGGCCGGTGTGTCCAAGCAAAAAGAAAGTTTCATCCCGCTCTCACGCAATAGCTCCCAACGCTGTCGTCACTATTGGCGTCATTGCAAAGATCCAATTGGGGCAAGTGGGGCTCCGGCGTCACCCAGTGCGCCTTCGTATGAACAGACCTTACGAAGCTCTCCTCAGGTCAGGTACGGCTTTTGGTGATGTCAATTGGTCGTTTCGGCTCTTACTGGCCGGCGCGGCGGGGGTTGGTCTCGTTTTCCTGTATTACCGGTATTGGTCTTGTACGGGTACCGTATGTCATCGAAACGTGGAGAAGGCATGGTGCATTCTTGTCGTCCCATCGTTCTGATAACCCCATCTCCAGCTCCAAAGCATAGATCCCATCAGATTGAAAATCCAAACCCCTGGCCCTGGCCCATTTTCTAATTGCTCATATAAACTGTTGCATATTTTGAGGTTGACCTCAAGGCTCGGCGCAACAACCACCCCTCTTGTAGCAACCCCCAAATCGCAATATGAACTCGATTCTGTCCACGTTCACGCCCGATGCTTCGGGAACCCCGCCAAAGCAGGTCGACTACATCCCATGGCTCACGCTCAACGATGGCAACAAGATCCCAATGGTGAGTTGCCGCTCCCAGTAATGAATCCGCCTCTACAGGGAGGACCCGCCCCGTGGTAACGGTGTCAGCACTTGATTGCTCCCAGAGCCTAGCCTGGGCAGACCAGGACCAGCTCGCTCAAGCGAATTGTAGTGCTCACATCTCAGTAGCTCGGGTATGGCCTAGGGACAGCCAACTACAAAAGGGGTGGCCCGGATTTTGATGAGAAGATTGTCGACAACACGGTCCGGGCTATCAAACTTGGATACCGTCATCTCGATGGCGCCGAAGGTATGCGCAGACAGTGACACCCAACGAGAAGGCACTCTAACGGAAGCCAGTCTACGGAAATGAGGAGGAGCTCGGCGCAGCTATCAAGAAGGCCGGTGTGCCGCGAGAGAAGCTCTTCGTTACTGCCAAGTGCAGCGGAACCAAGAGGCAGAATACCGAAGAGGCCTTTACGACGTCTCTGAAAAAACTTGGTCTTGACTATGTGGATCTCTATCTCATCCATGGTCCCTTCTTCGCCGAGTCGGGCGAGGAGCTCCAGCAAAAGTGGACAGAACTGGAGGCAATCAAGGAATCCGGCCGGGCCAAGTCCATCGGAGTCAGCAACTACCTTCAGTCCCACCTTGAGACCATCCTGAAGACGGCCAAGATCCCCCCGGCCATCAACCAGATTGAGTTCCATCCTCACCTGCAGCACGGCGACCTGCTAGAGTTCCACCGCCAGAACAAGATTGCAGTGGCAGCGTATGCTCCCTTGACCCCCATTACTTCAGACGTCGATTCTCCCGTCAGGGCCATCTTCGCCAACCTGTCCAAGAAGTACGGGGTAAGCGATTCCGTCATTGGACTCCGGTGGTGCATCGACCAGGGTCTGGTCACCATTACAACCTCCTCCAATGAAGACAGGCTGCAGAGTTACCTGAACCATCTCCCTGCCATCAAGCTCACGCCTCGGGAGGTGAGTGAGATCGCCAAAGCCGGTGAAACCAAACATGTTCGCGGGTTTTGGAAGAACAGATTCGACGCTGATGACAAGAGCTAAGTGGGTCTATCATTGGCAGCCGTCTGAGTATCTCGGACCATAGCGTCAAGTAATTGTCTATGTAGCAATTAATTGGGAGGATTAACGAGAAACTGCCAAGTGTGTCATAGTCCCTAGCGACGCCAGATATGACGGTATGAAGAAACAAACATGACAATACGAGCACTCATGTCGACTCTGTTGGCTTTCGTCCCCAACCCATATCAAAGCTCGTCATCAGATTCCGTCTCGCTTTCAGCGGGCGGAGGTGGTGCTTTTGGGGCGGCCCTCTTTTTGGCAAAGGGAAGTTCCCTCTTCATTGGAGGTGCTTCCTTTTGAGCGGCTGTGGCCTGCCCCTTGGCATGTGAAGTTTCCACAGACTCATGTTGCTTCTTGGACGCTGGCGCTGCTGGCTCGTCACCATCATCTTCACTAGCCGTCTCATCCTCGTCTTCGGTCGTGTCGCGCTGCTGCTCGGAATCTTCAGGAGCTTGCTCCATGTCCATCTTCTCGAAACCTTCATCGGAGGAGCTATCGTCATTGGCGGGGGCGGGGGCGGTCTTCCTTTTGGCCGGCCTAGACTCAGCTGCGGCATGGCCTTTTCCTGCGGCCTGAGAACTCTGTACCTGCGCTAGTTTGTCGGGCTCGACAGACGCAGACGCCAAAAGTTTCTGCTGCTGTCTGATCTTGACCTTCTTCTCGTTTAATAGGTCGCGGAACTTCTCTAGCAGTTCCGACTCGTCGGCCTCCTTGGCCGCGATTAGGCCGTCGAGCTGTGCTTTGAGCTCACGGACAGATTCTTCAAGCCGGTTCGCTTTTGCGGTTGCAGAAGCTAGGGCTTCCTTGGCCTCATTGGCCACCTGCGCCGACAGAGCACACCAGTCGAATAGCTCAATCAGCTCATGCGGGCTGTGGCTCAATTCGATGGCGCCGAGACGTTGCTATAGACCAGCCATCAGCCCACCGGCCACCGGGAAAGTTGGGCTGGGAAGAGGTTCAAGCAAATCATCACTTACAGTAAACTCCCTCCCCTTTCTCCGGACAGTCAAAGTAAGGACGGTTTCATTTTCGACATCGGCGAGCACCTCGATGTCGCTGACTGGTTCTTGTTGTAGCACGGCAGTCAGAATGGAGATCCATTCGTCCTCTGTGCAGGGGCTGTTCTTAACTCGAAGTGCAGCGGCATTATCTTGACGCACTGCAAGGGGAACCTTCTGTTAGTCTCGCCAGGTTCCGTTTCGACGGTGCATGAGTTCGGCGCATGAAACAACATCGGACAAGACCCACTCGCCCGGGCCGCAATGATCTTCGGCCAGGAACAGGATGACGAGCATTCTACTCACAGGAAACGGCATAGGGCTCGACGCCATCAGTTCCAACCAACTTGACATCCAATGCTTTGGACCGTATAGGCGTAGCTTGGATGATGACGAAGCCACCTTGGCTCTCTGACCGGGGAAACCGGAGGATGTGTGCCGAAGTCATGAAGAGCTAGAGGTGCGATAATTTGCCCCCGTGCGTGCCCCAAGATGAGTTGCCGTTCCAGTGTCAATGTCAATAGTGGCTGTATCTCGGGGGGTCGAGTCCGAGAGCGTCGGAGGCCAAGTTGTTGTGGGTTTCAGGGACCAGCAAATTGGTTTGGAAGGGCTGGAATCCAGAAAAAAAAAATTAACGCCTTGGTCTGAGGGTGTTTTGGTTGGGTAGTATTCTCGTGAGACAACAAGAAAAAGGTGAGACTTGGTCGGAGCCTCCACTCCGTAGTTGGCAGTTTATTGACATTAAGTACAGGGTAACGAGAAGAAGCTATCTATCTGAGCCATGAGGGTCATCGAGGGGTCCCGGGGTTGGGAACTAGGCAGCTACGCAGGGCAGTAGGTAGGCAGGCGCAGGCACAGGTAGGTAGGTGCCATGTGCCTCCCTAGGCAAGCAGGCAGGCAGGGCCTGAGCAACAGCCTCAGGCATACCCTTGGATGTTTAGACACTCGTGACGGCAAGGTCACAGTCGGAGGGCACGGAGAACGGGAACGTAGTCTGCGATTAATGTTGTTTTATTGTCAAGGCTGTCAATAAATAAACACGAAGCTATGGAGACGGTTTCGAGGCTATCGGTTTGAAGGGGTCGCTGGGAAGGGCTAGCTAGATATTACTAGTTTTCAGGACCGTTCGGTTCGCCCTGCAGAATCAAAGTTTCGATAACCTCGTTTCACGGGTGGTGCTCTTGCTGAATGAAGCCAAAGAGCCGGCTGTTGCCAAAGTGAAGCAGAAGGCTGGCAGGCTGGCAACCTCGTTTAGGTTCTCCCTAAGATGCGTACCTGCGGCTGTCGTCTGACCTTTGGCCGAAGCACCGGAAGACGAGGAGAGTGGATGCAGGCAATGGTCGCGGCTCGAACGCGGCAGAATCGTGCAGGTGCAACTATCCCCGCATGCAATCCCTTATTGATCCAATCAACCCACCATACGAAGATAGTCCCCGCTGAATCACGTGGCTCACCCTGGGAAAAATTCGTGATTCACTACGGATACTCAGTACGGTACATAGGCGCTAGGGGCCCTGGAGCCCTGGAGCCACCCCCCCTCCCCCACCAGTCTCCCTCCCCCCCAGCAAGGCCCATTCCACACCTGTTCTTTTCCGCTCAGCTGTTCGCCCTCAGTGCCGGGGCCCAGTCGACCCAGAAAAAGAAGCCGTAGTGGAACTTCGGCTGCTCCAGTCTCCCCCTCTTCTTATCCCCAGAACAATTAGCTGGGCATCATTTCAACAAGTAGACACAAGGAGGAAGAAAAACAAGTTCACTAAAGCCGATGATCGTATCCGTATAACGCACCAGGAAGATCCAAAGTAGCAAGAACTTAAATTGTGCTCGAAATAGCTGCACGAATACGGGGAACAAATACGTAGCCCGGTGGGCTGCCCACACATGCGCGCAATACCTACCAGCCACGCTCTGCTCCTCCTGCGGCACCACGCACCGCTGTTGCTGGACCCAGCCCACCATCCCGCCAGCCTACCACCTCGCTTTGTTTGCCAGACCCGATCCATCGACCCCGGCTTCCCAGCCATTTTTGCTTCACCACTCATCCAACAAGACCGCCAATCCTCGCAAATCCAATCCCAATTCTTCCACCCCCCGACCTCACACGACTGCCCTGTTCTCATCCTATTCTGGTTTGGCAAACGTCACGCTCGACATATCGGTCCCTGTTGCGCATCACCCCTTACGACGAACCTCTTGGACAACCTCCACTTGCCCTGCACCCGTTTGCATCACTCGCTCGCAGTTCTTTCCTACCAGTAGCCGACAGACAGACACTACACTACGCACATTCCCGAAAACGACGATACCAAACCCGGCTCAAAACAAACCAGACGCCGCCATTTCTACGCCTTACCACGCAACGCCAAACCTTTTTGCCTCCTCTGCAACCAAGTTACTCCCCAATCATCACCAAGAACACTTGCCTTACGAGGACTGTCACCGTCTGAAAGGATATGCTGGGCCGAAGCTGCTGTTATTGTTGACGATATGATCTTGCAACATTGACAAGTAGAACAGCGCTGCCGGGAAGTCTTTTGGTATACGACCACGACCTCCTTGGACCCAATTCAATTCTGCGCGCCCCCAAACAAAGAAACCCGCCGAAAACATGGAACCTTTACGCCTCAAGCCACGCCAGCCCGTGGCCGAACCAGACATCGAGGACTGGGACGATGACGACTTCCAGATCGACACCGATGACCTGACATTTCGCACCGCCTCCACCACAGCAAACCTTGCTTCCTCACGACGCGACTCTGCGTCTTCACATGTTTCCCTCCGCTCCGATCTTGAATCCAACTTGGATGAAGAGACGCATGTGCACGTTCCGGGCGACGACGAGAAGTCAACACTGGACGCTATCGCCGCTGCCACCCAAGCCGGCATTCCGATACCCAAGAATGTACCCTCTTCCGCTCTCATGGGTGGCACTATTAAACGACTAGGTGGAAGGAAGATCAAGAAGATCATGCAGGACGACTGGGAGGACGATCTGGTACTGCCAGATTCAACCCAGCCCCTTCGCATCAAGCCCCAAGACGGCTCCAAGTTCCCTGATATGCTTAGGCAGGTCAGTGGTGGTTCTACCCAGACGAGCCCTACCAAATCTATGAAGACCCCTCCGGCCGTGTCGCTGCTGGATCGGAGAGAGTCGACTGAATCAACCACAAGCACATTGTCGGGAGCCATCAACTTGGAGAGGTTCCGCGATAACGACGATGATGACGACTTCTTCGGCGACGGTTCCGAAACCATCAAAGTGTCCAAGACTCGCCCACCAAAGCCCATTTCACTCATTACCCCCCCGACACCTCAAAAGAATGACAATGCGTTGGATGATGACTTTGAGACTGATTTTGAACTCCCGTCGGACGGGAAACTGAGGCTCTCAACCCGGAAAGACATTCCAAAGACGCCTTTGGTACATGCAGAGGACTTGGACTGGGGCGAGGGCAGCCTCGGAACTCGATTCGGTGGCACTCGCAGAGACGCCCATTCCACTAGAAGCTCTTCTGTCTCTGCCATGAGCCCCAGTGTGTCGAGCTCGTTTACCGCCGAAAGCGAGGATGAGACGTTCGATGGCCTCGTGCTCCCAAGCGGCCCGGTCAACTTCGAGGAGAGGCTGAGTCGGAGGAAGCTCAGTCGCTCTCCTGTACGTTCTGTGGAGGAAGAGCCACCAAACCTGAAGACTCCTCAGCCACGGAAGGAACCTGAGCCTGAGGATATGTTCGACGGCCTTGATGTCGGCGACGGTGATGTCTTCAATTCCGGCAAGCTCACCCTTCACCGCAACATCCGTGTCAATTCAAACCGGCCGTTGAGCCCGCAGCGGCCCAAGACGGCCATTTCCTTGACCTTCTCCACCAAAACCACAACGTCACGACTGCCGCGGCCTAGTCATGAGCGTCACGAGCGAGCCCTCTCTGCGTTGGAGCCTGTGTCTGAGAGTGGTGGCCCCATTTTCGCTCGCTCGCGAAGGTCTCAGTCTCGCATGGGCCACGCATCGCAGTCCTCGGTTACGAGCATTCACAGCATGCCTACGCCCACGACACCGTCTCCTGGGTCTTTGCTTCCCTCAACGCCACGAAGAAGGGAGCTTGGCCCCAGAACTTCTACCACCTCGCTGCGGAATGAGCCCACAACTACGAGCTCGCAGTTGCTGAGGTTTAAGCGATCTCTGCCTGCTATGAAGGCATCTCATTCCCCTGCCAAACCCATCTCCTCCCGCTTCGACCGGCCGCCGTCCAGAACAGATCCGAATCGTCCGGCGTCGGCGATGCGACCGAAAACACCAACCGAGAGGTCTCGACCCGCTGTGGAAAGCCATGCTGCCCAGCAACGACGGCCCTTCCTCCCTGCTGGGGCCTCACAATCCCAGTCGCAGCACGTGACCGCAAAAACTTCTCGCACCTTCCGACACCATGATTCAGAAAACTCACTCGACATGCGGCCGACGTCCAGGGCTTTTTCGAGGTCGACTATGCGTTCGCCAAGCCCGAAAAGACTCAATCGCCATTCGGATCACATTACTCACGATGGCTTATCTTTCCGCACGCTCACCAAACCACACCGAACCCGAAATTTCGGTGATGGGCACGAGCTGGATGGATTCGACGATTTGCCCACGTCGGCGCAATCAGAGGCAAAATTCGTCCGGCAACCCTTGAAGGCACCGTTGCGCAATAAGCTGTACCAAAATGTGCTTCCCGATCGGACCACCACACCCTCCCCGGCACCTCACTCCCCTGCGAAGACTGATTACACGCCCCATTTTGCTCGTGATACCCAGGCTAGCCGAATTGCCCGGGAGACCTCGCTTGCTCAACGGACTCCATCAGGCCCACTGCCGCCTTTCACCTCGTCGCGTGTCTCCCAGCTGTCGTCTAGGAACAATTTCAACCCCGGACTGCCACAGGCTTCCGTAAGGTCGAAAAAGAAGAGGAACCCTCCCCAATTGAAGCCTCATCTTATATCGAACATGAACAAGGACAAGACTCCGCAACGTAAGTGCAACCACTTTTCACCTGCACGTCACAATACTAACAGCGATGCAGATCTTCAGGGCATGTTTTACAACCCCGACACGTACCGTTGGGAGGGCAATGAAAACGTCCTGAACGCGTTCGACATACCCGCATCGTCCCCATCGACAGCCTCTATACCGCCTCACATTGTGCGCGACAAAGAAGTTTCCACACCTCGGCCGGCTCTGATTACCAACATAAGCCACACAAAAGGTGTTCAGGTCGTTGGAGGCATGGTCTTTGACCCACAGAATATGTGCTGGCTCAAGCTGGGCCCGCAAACGAATCCCAAGTCCGAGATCTCCGATCCGATGGACGGCTTCAACGCCTTGGACGACGACGAGGATGTCTTTAAAGACATTCCGGATCTCGACGACAACTCAGGCGACTCCAAGGAACCGGGTCGCGTCAGCGAAGTCAAAGACGAATGGCTCGTCGGCGAAGAATTCGACGTCGGCCCGGAATTCGTACGACGGCAGCGCGAAGAAGAAGATAGGTGGAGAAAGAAGTGCGAAAAATGGCTCGGCGTCGGCGATCAAGACCGCGATGCCTCGCGCTGGGCCATTCGCGACATTCTGCTCCACCAAAGGGCTGCCCAGTAGACCTCTTCTCATGAACACTACTTCACTTCGGGCGGCATTTTATGATTTCTTTCCTCTTTACATTATTATTTAATACCCCTGGCGTCCATGGACGAACCACAGGGCGACTTATGACGGAGGCGTTTTGGAAGAAGAATTACGACAAACAACCAAATACATTTACGACGGGTCTAGTGACGACTTTCTGGATACCTCTCTGTGTACAACATACTCCGACACACAAAAGTTGTGAATAGGGTTCATGACATACGGCTTTATGACGAAAAGAGGTCCGGCCGAGGATACAGGAAGGCCGGCCTTTATGACGAACAAGGAGATGAAATGGGAAGAGAGACCCGATTCGATACCATCCAGAACCAAGCTGGATTGGAGGGTCATGATGATCTTGGAGGAAACGCATGCTTTTACGTCTTGTTTTCTGTACACCGCTTTTATTTTTTATGCTTGAGGTTGGCTTTTTGAGTAGGAGGATAACGAGGTTGGGTGTATGAATCGTTTCCCTTGGCCATTGAGATGGTCAAGGGTCGCGTCTTTATCTAATGAAGAGTGACGCCTTCATTACAAACTCTACTTCTAGACACAAGTTTCAATTTTTTTTTTTCAGTTCTCCCTTAAGGACCAGCAGGCTGGGCCACTTTGACATTTACGGACGTGAAAGGGCATTCATTAAATTAAGCATTCGGTCGAACATCAAGATGGCCTTTTCTTTTCGTAAGACGACGGGCAATGAACGGCGCGACTTGTTCAAAGATCCGATGCAATTTCTTTCTCTCAAATTCCGAATCCCTTTTTTGAGCTCCGACTCCCTAGTACTAGGTAATTATAATGCAAACAATGACAAAACAGGATGCTTCGTTTCGATCTCGATCGATCCCGGACACAATGATGCTTCTTTTTCGTCTACTGCACGTAAGATAACACCGAGAAACCCCCCTTTATCTTATGACTTTTTAGTTTCCATCCCACATTCGTCGTCCTCTATCCCTGCGAGAGCGACTTATTTCGCCGCCTTCTTGTCCTTCTTCTGCTTGGGAGCCTTGCTCTTGGGGCTCTTCTCCGGCGTCGCGGTCGTGGACGTCACCTTCTTCTGTGCCGTATTCCTCTCGGCCTTGCGCTCCTTGTCGGCGGCGGCGGCCTTCTCCTTGCTCTTGTCCTTCTTCTCGGGCGTCTTCTCGGCGGGCTTCTCGGTCTCAACCTCGGACTCGGACTTGTCGGACTTGCCGCCGTCCTTCTTGGCGGCTGCCTCCTTCTTAGCCTTGGCCTTGAGGGCATTGGGGTCCAGGCCGCGCCTGCGCATGGCGTTGCGCTTGGCCTTGTCAATGTACTCCTCGTCCTCGTCCTCGTCGAAGCCGCCAAAGTTGTCGTCCCGGCCGGCCGCCGAGTTGTCCTCATCGTCGGTGATGGGGGTCTTGTCGACGACCTCCCCGGCGGAGCCGGGCGCGGAGCGGTCTGCTTTCTCGGCCTTTGCGGGAGTAGGGCCGAACTTTTGGAACTTGGCGACGAAGAAGCCGTCGACGTTGTAGGTGTGCGGGTAGTAGCGGCGGGTGAGCTTCAGGGAGGGGTCGAACTTCTTGCCCATGTAGGAAGTGAAGCCCTCACGACCGAAGGGAAGGTTGGTGTCGACGAGCCTGACGTTGGGACGGCGGGAGAGTGCGTACTGAACGACGGCCTCGCTGAGAGATTGTTAGCAACTTGTTCACACATGCTCTGTTCGGAAGGGGCCAGGCTTACTTCTCCTCGACGGTGACGGAACATGTAGAGTAGACAATGTAACCGCCCGTCTTGCTGTGGTGGTTGACCGAGTCGATGGCGGCCAGGATCAGCTGCTTCTGCATGTGCGGCAGCAGCATGAAATCCCTCTCCGTCTTGTTGGTCTTGACGCTGGCGTCCTTGGCGATGACACCGGTACCCGAGCAGGGCGCGTCGAGAAGCACGCGGTCAAAACCACCCATGGGCTTGGGGAACTCGCGAGCGTCGTAGTTGGAGACGACGACGTTGCGGGCGCCGAGGCGGTGAATGTTACCGATGAGACCCTTGGCACGCTGCTTGCTGGGATCGTTGGCGACGATGACACCCGTGTTCTTCATCATGGCGGCCATGTGCGTGGTCTTTCCACCGGGGGCGGCGGCCATATCCAGCACGCGCTCGTTCTCTTGAGGCTCGAGGGCCATGACGGGCAGGAACGAGGACGCGGCCTGGAGGATGTAGTAGCCGGCAAGGTACTCGGGCGTCGCACCGAGGGGCACGTTACTCTCGAAGATCTGCAGGCCGACCTTGGACCACTTGCCGACGGGTTCGAGGGTGACACCGCGCGAGATGAGGGCCTGGGCGAGGTCGCGGCGATGGGTGCGGAGGGTGTTTGTCCTGATGACGACGGGACGGGCCGACTCGTTGGCCTCGAAGAAGGCGAACGCCTCGCGGGGGGAGAACAGGTTGAAGAGCTTCTCGGCGAGGTACTCGGAGTAACCGTAGTAGGCGCAGATATCCTTGATGAGCTGGGAGACGTACTCGACACGGGAGCGGCCCTCCTCGTGGAGGTTGGCGAAATCGTCGAGCACTCTAATGTTTTCCGTGATTCTCGTTCTCAGGAGTTGCAGGTCGGGCGCAAGCAGCGTCTTTGTCTTGGCGGCAAGCTCGTCGTCCTCGTCGTCAAAAACGTGCGGCTTGTCGCCGTCGATGTTGGTCTGAATGCCCATCTCCTCGAGCTCGGCCTGTGCCTCGGCGTCCTCTGCTGCGATCTTCATGTCGAGCCTCCGTGCGACACCCTCGATGTTGGCCTTTGTGAGCTTCTCCTCGCCGTCCGACTCGTCTTCGTCCTCCGAGAACATGTGCTTGCCGCCGCCTTGCTCCTGGTCCGAGTCGAAGACTGAGTCGTTGTCCGAGTCCAGGAAGTCGTCGCCCAGACCTGCCGGTGCGTTCTTCAGGTTAGAGAACTCGTCGACACCCTCGTCGTCGCTCATGTCAGAGGGCGCGTCATGGAAATCGCCAAGGTCGTCATCGTCTGACATGTCTTCGTCCTCGTCGTCGACGGGCTGAGCCTTCTTTCCTCTGCCGTTCGCCTTGGGCGCGGGCGCGGGCGCCTTGCTCTTCTTCGCATCATTCTTCTTTGCGGCGGCACCGTTGGTCTTTGGGGCGTTCTTCTTGTTTGTTCTCCTCCTCTTGGTCTCGACAGGCTCGACAGGGTCGACTGGCAGACCGGCCTTGCGCTTCAACTTTGCGAAATGGGCCTCTGACAGGGGTTCAGGAGGACCCTGCTTCTTCATACGGTTTCCGACACCCATTTTGACCGATCAATTGCGTGTCGAGACTTCGGGTATATGTAATTTAGGGAGCGAAAGGGGGGTATTGTAAAAGAATACAAAAAAGTGATGCACGGTACCGGCTGGTAAGGTCGGTCGCCGCTGCACTGCCAAAGAAAAAAAAAGTTCACTTGGATTATTAGAGCGGCCCCCCACCGAAACTTTTTCCTATCGCGCACTGACCAGTCCGATTAGATTGGAATAGCAGCCGATAAAGCCACGCCGTCCAGGCTGACCGACCTGCTCCAGCCCCACACCCCAGCTCGCCCTCCACCCCGCCATCCCTCCTCACAGCAGTGCGTAACATCATTGAGCAAGCAGCAGACCAGACACCGGACGAAGCCATCTCCAACGTCGCATCTCGAGTCGTTTATCTTGTATTGAACCCTTGCCGTCACTTCTCTACACCTTAGCATCACACAGACAACCTATACCAGCCACCGAACTCAGTCCATCGACTCGAACGAACCGACCTTGCAAACTTCACCAACAGCTAGCCACCTGCAAACCGCAATCATGGCGGAAGTCGTCTTCGCAAGACAGTTCCTGGCGACTTTGGAGTCGCGCCCAGCCAAGCTGTCGGCCGACCATGTGGAAGACCCCAAGAACTTCCCTGCTCGCCCTCCCGTAGGTGTCATCCAGCCCCGCGCACTTCGCATCACAGCTAACGTCATGAAGTACATTCTGCCCAAGATGCCCAAGCCCATGAGTAAGCCCACGAACCTCGCGCCGGGCCAGGAACGCAGCATCAACGTCGTCATCAAGTCCCTGCGCAACCCACCCCTGGACATCAAGCTGTCCTCCCAGAGCCTGAACACCTCGATCCTCGATATCAAGACGGCGGTCGAGGCGCAGTCGCGGATACCTGTGGACAAGGTGAAACTTTTGTACAACAAGAAGCCTGTGTCTGACAGCAAGGTGTTGAAGGATTTGCTCACGGATGATCAGTCGTCGCTGGAGTTCTCTGTTATGGTCATTGGCGGAGCTGCGGCAGTCAAGCCCGAGCCTGCTCCCGTTGGGGTCGGCTCTGGTCAGCAGGAATACATTGGCGAGGCCGCGCTGGATACGCCGGAATTCTGGAATGATCTGAAGGGCTTCTTGATGCAGAGGCTCAAGCACGAACAGAAGGCGGAGGAGCTGTCGGCGCAGTGGCGCTCGGCCTGGCAGGCGCAGAAGTCATGACGTAGCAATCATCACTGAAGACGGGACTCAAACATAAATAATGGTCTAATAAAGAAGTTGGTTTTTCCCGTCAAGCAACAACAACAACAAGAATGCTCAACATTCCGGCATAAGATGTTTTCCTATGGCACTGGGTTGGTATAACCAGGCGGGCAGTTGAATCTGGAAATTTACTGGTCGCGCCCCAAAAGAAGCTCGGAATGGGGAAAAGGTCTCGGTCCCGGTAATCGCCAAAGGGGGGAAGAAGTGGTCCTCCATATTCTTCGTAAACTCTCCATGATCGTCGTCAATCGTCCCGGAAGACTGCAGCCGCCAAAGTACATGCTCCGTCTCGCCGCTTAAGGAATGGTATTGTGCGCGAGGAACGAGACATCTAACCAGCCAAACCCTTGCTGACAGTCTTGAGGATGGAGTCGTACTCGATGTCATCGGCGTCGTTGGCCTGGAGCTCGGTCGCAATGCCGGTGAGCGAGCGCTTGAGAGCCTCCTTGGAGGAAGCGTAAACCATCTTGGCCTGGACAACTGTTAGCGACGAATGCAATGTATTTTTTATGGCGGCAAGTACTGACCATGACACCAGCATCATCGGGGGACCAAGCGAGGAAGGTGATCTTGTTGCTGTTCGGGGGTTAGTTGCAGGTTTTAAGTTGGGCGAATGCGGGGGCAGCGTACCGCTCACCCTCGCCAGAGGCAAGGCTGTACTCGAAGTCGTAGACGGCGTAACGGGGACCCTTGCCGACAGCGCCCTGATACGATATTAGCAGAGTACTTGTAGGTTCTACATTGCCATGGAAAACAGAGTCACGTACGCTCTTGGACTTGGTGGTGGCGTTGATCAGCTTCTCGCGGAAGTTGTCATAGTCCTTATCGGCCGAGGCCTCCTCGACGACGATCTCCTTGTTGTCATCCGAGAGCTTGTAAATGATGTACTTGTACTTCTTGGACAGCTTAAGCTCATTGTAGGCCGTTATGCACTCCTGAGACACGGTCGCTCTGGTGGGGAAGATCGGGTTAGCACGCGCTGCGTTGCTGAGGCATATGGAGCCAGCTTGTCCTGCTCCGCCAGGATCGTCATCGGACAAGCGGTAGAGCTTTGCTCATCAAATGCGGCGTGGAAAGTTGAGTCTTGGAAGAAGACGGGGGAGAACGAACCCGGATTGAGACTGCGATTGAGATTAGCATGGTGTTTTGGTAGGCAGCTGATCCTTGGAAGCTTTTAGTTACTCACCATGATGCTGGTTTATGGCGGGGGTGTGGCTTGAATAGAATAGGCGGGAAAGTGGGCTGAGTGACAGAGAGCAGATTAGCAGAGAGCCTAGGGGAGGGGAATTGCAAAGCTAATAATAATAATGTCTGGCGATGCAAGGGAAAGGGGGAGAAAAACGGGTGCCTACTTCGAAGATGGAGTGGTTCAGCCGGAAGTCTGCTACACTGGGTAGGGTGGTGGCAGAAGAGGTAACAGCTTGCGTCGGTTGGAGAGGTATCTTGGACAGGAACGGAAGAGTTGGGTCACCTTGGAGGGGAAAGCGGGCGAGAAAAACACCCCCATGGTGGGGTTGTTGTCCAGGTGAGATTGCGCGCACGTGACTCAGCAGCAAGTGCGTCAGCAGCATGTTGACGAATCCCACCCCAGGCAGTCAACACAGCACAACAAGGCCTAAGCTCCTACGGGATCTGTACTTTCTGGGCAGCCCAATGTGCTGACGAGTGCAGTTATCAGGCAGGAATAATGAAACATCATGACATCTCTCACAATGGATGCCTATTGTGTGTTACGCAAGGTGGTTTTAACGGCTGCCTTTTCCGTCCTTGTCTGCATGAAGCCAGGGACTCTTTAGCAGTAGGAGGAGACCAGGCAAGCTAGCCATTTAAGCTGTTAATTAGGCTTGTCAAATGTCTCCACCATTGTCAACTACCAGTGTCACTGTTAATGGCGTCACTCCGTACCCAGGTCTTGGTCTCTGTCTTGCTCTTTTACTTTTTTGGCTTTCTTTCATCTTACATAACTTGCTAGTGCTATTGTACAATACAGAGCTCTCAAATCCCTCCGGGGAAAGTGCTGCTTTTTAAGGGGGGGAAGAGGGGAGATTAGTACAAGTGGCAGCAGTTATACATCCTCCTTTTAAATAGTAACACCGACGCCCAATGCCCCTCGCCCATTGACTTTTGATTTAATACAAGATGACACGTTGATCATGTTTTTACATCATACCGCCCATGCCTCCCATACCGCCCATGCCGCCCATGCCACCCATGGGAGGGGCCTTGTCTTCGGGAGCCTCGACAATGGCGACCTCGGTGGTACCGAGCAGGGAAGCGACACCGCTGGCGTCAACGAGACCAGTGCGGACGACCTTGAAGGGGTCAAGGATACCGGCGGCGATCATGTCGACGTACTCGCCCTTGGAGGAGTCGAAGCCCTTGTTGAACTCGCCGGCGTACTCGTCGGTGAGCTTGCCAACAATGACAGAGCCCTCAAGACCGGCGTTCTCGACAATAGTGCGAGCGGGGCGGGTGATGGCGTTCTTGACGATGGTAACACCGAGCTGCTGGTCGAAGTTGGCGGTCTTGACGTCCTTCAGGGCCAGGGCGGAGGCCTTGATCAGGGCGGTACCACCACCGGGCAGGATACCCTCCTCAACGGCGGCGCGGGTAGCGTTCAGGGCATCGACGAAGCGGTCCTTCTTCTCGCCGACCTCAACCTCGGAGGAGCCACCGACCTTGATGACGGCGACACCGCCCGAGAGCTTGGCAAGACGCTCCTGGAGCTTCTCCTTCTCGTAGTCGGAAGTGGTGGGGTCGCTCATAACACCACGGATCTGCTCGCAGCGCTGGGCGATGGCGTCCTTGGAACCCTCGCCGTTCAGGAAGATGGTGTCCTCCTTGGTGATGGTGATGGAGCCGGTGGAGCCGAGCATGTCGGGGGTGGCCTTCTCGAGCTTGATGTCAAGCTCGTCGGTGAAGACGGTAGCGTTGGTGAGGACAGCCAAGTCGCCGAGGATGGACTTGCGGTTGTCACCGAAGCCGGGGGCCTTGACGGCGGCAACCTGGAGCTGGCCACGGAGCTTGTTGAGAATGCAGACGGCGAGAGCCTCACCCTCAATGTCCTCGGCGATGATGACCAGAGGGCGTCTCATCTGGGTGGAGGCCTCAAGGGCGGGGATGATGTCCTGGACGGCCGAGATCTTCTTCTCCGAGAGGAGGATCAGGGGCTTCTCGAACTCAACCTTCTGGGACTTGGCGTCGGTGATGAAGTAGGGGGAGACGAAGCCGCGGTCGAAGCGCATACCCTCGGTAACCTCGAGCTCGTCAACCAGAGTCTTGCCCTCCTTGACGGTGATGACACCCTCCTTGCCGACCTTCTCCATGGCGTTGGCGATCAGACGACCGACCTCCTGGTCACCGTTGGCAGAGATGGTGGCAACCTGGGCAACCTCCTCGCTGGTGGTGATATCTCTCTTGTTCTTCTGGAGGAACTCGACGACGGCATCGACGGCAGCCTGGATACCGCGACGCAGGTCCATGGGGTTGCAGCCAGCGGCAACGTTCTTGACGGTCTCGGAGAAGATGGCACGGGCCAGAACGGTAGCGCTCGTAGTTCCGTCACCGGCGGTCTCGTTCGTCTTGGAGGCGACGTCCTGGAGCAGCTTGGCTCCGAGGTTCTCGAACTTGTCCTTCAGGGTGATTGCCTTCGCGACAGTGACACCGTCTGCATCCAATTAGCTTTATTACCCGATTTGATGGTTCAATTGAGCTTCTACCGTACCCTTTGTGATCTTGGGAGAGCCATAGCTGGACTCGATGAGGACGTTGCGGCCCTTGGGACCAAGTGTTGTCGCAACAGCCTTGGCCAGAGTCTCAGCACCAGTCAACAGCGAGGCGCGGGCCTCGACACCGAACTTCAGTTCCTGCAGAGATTGTCAGTACGCCCGAGCTAATGATCTTGCCATTGCGATGCATCGTCGCGACTAACCTTGTGGGCAAAACGAAGCTGCTGTCCCAGGCCGGCACCGGCGCGGAACTTGCTAGGAGCAGCAGAGAGGACGGACGCTCTCGCGCGAGAAGTGAGTGCGCGCTGCATATTGGATCTTATTACGAGGGTATCTAGATAAGAAATAGAAATACACAAGCAAGGATTGAGAGTGTCGCAGGAGTTGAATCACGCGTGTCGCTCCAAGGATTTCGGGGAGATGAAGTAAAGAGATGTGGCAGTGAGTGATGGAAGCTTCCCGTCTCTGGCTCCAAAAATTTATTTCGGAGCTTCGGCTAAACGAGGTCCCTTTCGAGAGCACCATGACAAAACGGGACTAGCGCCCAGTAGCTGCATTTCTACCGTCTTCCAGTGGCATCTGTCTCCATTCTCAGCATCCGCACATGGTATCCCAGGAGACACCAACAAACAGACAGGGGTTTGCGCATCGCATCGGCCATCCCGTTATTCTTCCCGAACGGAGATCGCGTTCAACATCACGAATAGGTGACAGTCGACGCCAAGACCACGAGATTGCTACAATGCATATTACCAACACGTGCATCGCATACCTTAAACCAGACGCAAATTCCACCTTATAAGGCTATCGCTACTTACGATTCATGTGTCGTGCGTTTTTTGGTGATTGTTCTTTACGGTACTCCACATTAATTGTGGCTGTTTACTCTTGGTAACTGGATTTAGGGGATCGCCGCCTTGGCACAGCAATGCAAGCCCTCCATCCTTTACTTCTACATGCTATCGCACCAATAAAGACAACACATTGTATGGGGACTTGGTGAACTGCTAATCAGTCGCCAACATATACGTGAAACTTCAAATGCTACCTGGCGGGTTTTCGACCATGAGCTCGACGAGCAGGCTAGGAAGTCGAGTCAGAGGTCTAAGTTAAGGGGGACTTAAAAACTCGTAGACGATGATGCTCTGGCAGTATAAGAAAGGATGTTGTCCCTAGGAAAGACTCGAATTCCATCTCAATAATCAGAAAGCATCGTCTTCACTGTCTTTACCGTCATCAGCATCTCTTGATAACTTTCTCGTCCTTGCCCATCAACCGAAAACATGAAGCTCTCAATCATCACCACTGTCGTCGCCGCCGCCTCCGTCGCCCAGGCCGCTATCAACTGGACGCTCGAGAAGGCCGCGAACCCTACAGACGACCAGTTAGATGCATACGCCAAAATCGAAGAGGCCATGACGCTCGCGGCGGCAAGACACGCCAGGCTGGGAACCGCCGAAAAGACGATCAGCGTCACCTACACGCCCGGCGTGCCCACGGCCGAGGCCAACACCGGCGGCACCCTCCGCTTCGGGACCAGCCGCGACTTCATGACCGAGCGGACGGCGCTGCACGAAATCTCGCACACGCTCGGCGTCGGCCTGACGGACGGCTTCAAATCCAAATGCGCCTCTGGCGACTGGCCAACGGCCGTGCCCCTCCTTCGCTCATGGGACGGCGAGGATGCGGTCATCAATTGCGGTGGACAACACTTTTGGCCATATGGACTCAACTACGACAACGAATGGAGCGAAGAGGCCGCAGATCGCCACGTCCTGTTAATCAATGCCATGCTCGCCGACGGCATGGCAGCGTAAAATGTTTCCGGGTTCGGCTCTTTACAAACCCACTTCACGGATCGGTCTTTTTTTCTGTACATATCTAGTCATGAAACGCAGCATTTAGGTTCTTTGAATACAGATGATTTACGAGGAAACACGTCAATTTTTTGTCACCTCCATTATTATTGGATTCTACCCCTGTGATGCGTCTGAATCAGAAACCCCAATTCATTATTTGCGGATAGCCTGGTCCATGTGCCTCGTTGGATGATACCAATAACCATCCTGACACAGCCTGAAGACTACAGAAAGAAAGAAAACATACAAGCAGGTAGAGGCGAAGGCCTTCAAGTGTAAGCAGGAAAATCAGCAGATGGTGAAGCTGACCCGCTCGTTTCCTCCGGATCATCTTCTCATACCCTCAACTTGGAGAACGATTGAGCCCATACCCAGGTTACAGCCGAGCGCAGCTCATCGAGCCTCAGCTTTACCACCATTCCATGCATTCGCCGTGTGACGAAGCCCCACATGTAACCACGCCACAAAACATCAAAGACCAAAGCACGTTCCCGACTCGTAATGCATATCCTGCTCCTGAACCCACTGCCCGAAGTCGGCGTCATTCATTGTTCCTCCTCCGTTCTCCTGCTCGCCAAAAGGCGAAGTGCTCGAGAACATACCCTGAGTAGGTAAGGTGTCCTGGAACAAGCTGGTTGAAGGGTTGTTGATGGCCCAAGGCTCAGTGTCGGAAATTGAATCACCTGGGTAGCGGCCGAAGATGCGATAGTACTCATCGGGCCAATGTTCGTAAACTCTGGATGGAGGCTCAAGTTTCTGAGGACCCAAGCCATGAACACTGGTGGCCATGTTGTCATAATCGGGACTGGATCCAGGCTCCTGAGCATTGGTTCCGATGTCATTTGGCATCGAAGGCATCGGCAGGTTGAAGTTGTCGCCAAAGCCGTTCCGATGGAGATGTTGTCCAAACACCTGAGGCGTGTCCAAGGCCTGGGTGTCAAAAGGCTGGGTCTTGTCGAAGGGGTTTGCCGTACCCAAGGGCGCCGACAGAGACGACTGAGACTGCATCCACGGCATCTGGTTGTTCTGAGGAGCAGAGAACAATAGCCGAGGGTGCTGCTCCTGGAAGTCGGTCTCCGGAGAAGCCATCGTGTAGGCGTGAAAGTAAGATCTCTCGATCTGCTTCCCCTTCGCCTCCTGGCTCATCTGCGGCTTCCCATCATTAGCGACAATCAAGTGAAGAGATGGCTATAACTTACCTCATCTTCGAGCTCAGGCTCATCGAACTCAGGTTCTTCGAACTCAGCCTCTTCAAATGCTGGATCTTCGAACTCAGGTTCTTCAAGCTCAGGTTCGTCGAAATCGGTTTCGTTGTCGACATCACCTATTTGAGAGGAGGTTTCGTCTCCATAGTCTTCACTCTCTTCGCTCCATTCACCTTTTTCCTCTTCGTCTTCGTCAGGCCCCTAGCCTGAGACGGGAACCGGGAAGTCTTGGTGGTAGTATGGCTCACGGAAAGAGATTTTTCTCTCGGCGTTAGGGTTGTCAGATGTTGGCTCGAGAACGACGCCTCGAACGGTCGGGTCGTAGCGAGTTCCAGTGACAGGGGGGGCCATGCGGCCTCTCTTGAGGATCTTCCTACGCTCGCGAGCAAGATGTTGAATGAGTGACTGACCTGACGCTCCGCAATGAGTGCGGTGAGCGATAGCGTCCATAGACAGTTTGTGACCTTGAATGGAGGCCTGATACAAGGTGTTAAGCAGGAGCGTAATTGCCGTGTCCGGTCCTGTGACCACAGTCAGTTGCTTTGACTGCGAACAATGAGTGAAGAACTCCTTACGGTTCCATTGGACCAGGCTGCGGCCTTTTTGTCGGCCATTTGCAGCAGTCTGCTCCTTAGTTGGTGGATGCTCCGTCCATATCCATTTGCCTCCGCTGCTGGCATTGCTTGAGGGAGAAGCTGAAACAGAGGGTTGTCTAGTCGTCTTCTTGGTAGGACGAGGTACAGTCTTGGCAGCACGAGATACAGATTTCTTGTTCTGCACACGCCCCTTGGATTTCTGGATGCCACCTTTGGGTGACTTGAGCTTGGATGCCTTTGAGGCGTTCTTCTGCTGAGGCGCCATGATCTGAACAAAGTTGTTAATTAGTTTAAAGTTCACCAATTGACTCAAAGGTAAGTGACAAGTTACACAAGCTGCAGAGCAGAACAATGGTGTAAAGAAAGCAATGCCTGGATGTGAGAGCGCTTCACATAAGGTGGATAGGGAAGATGAGACGTCAAGCAACAACGCAAGTGAAGCGCCCACACAAGACGCAAATCTCAGAGGGAAAGGCTAAAGAACTCTATGCTTGGCAGCAACATGAGATCAAAGGACAGCCGTGCAGATGTAACAACGAGGGGATATTGGATCAAAAAAAGGATGAAAATAACTTACTTGCGGTTGTTGAGATGAGACTTGAGAAGACAGTGTAGGTTTGCAGTAACAAAGCTAACAGTTGGCAATCGCTCTTGAGAGGAAAGCAAAGATCTGCTGTGGTAAAGCTAATGCTGATGAGAATTGACGAAGGTGTTGTCAGACTTCTTCAGATGGATTGATTGAGAGGAAGTGTGAAGGTGTGAATGAAGACAGGAGCGGATGAGGTTCTTGTAGAAGAGATCGAACGCTGCTGAAGGTTGCGGCGCGAATCGTGGGTCAGTTGTGGAAGAGGAAGGAGGTGGCAAGGAGAGTGATCTGGGGCCGGTCCTGGGCGGCTCAAGGGCTAGGAAGCCTGAGAGGGCAACTAGGAATGCGAATATTTGCAGTGGTAAAGCTGATGGTCGTCTGATAAGATTGACGGTTTCGTCAGACTTGTTCAGATGAGTTGATCGAGAGGAACGAAGGATGAATAAAGTGAAGGATGAATGAAGACAGGTGAGGATGAGGTATTTGTAGAAGACACTGAACGCTGGGTTGCGGCGCAATTGTTGGGTTGGTTGTGGAAGAGAAAAGGAGGGCTAAGTGAGAAGGACGTTTAACTCAAATACTGGCAGAGGTGAATTGGGGCCAGGTTAGTTTGACAACTCAAGGGCTGGAAAGCTACCTGTTGATCGAGGTGAATGTAGGTGGGCAGCTTGATGAGATAGGAAGGCAGGACAGGTAGGTAGGTAGCTAGGCAGGCGAGAAGCGCTAAGGTGACTACACCGCGTTGACAGCCGGTGGGGTCGCTCAAGGTGAGGGCATACGGACGCGAGAATGGGCGACGTGTTGAGTGCGTCTCAGACAGGCTGGGTTTAGGCAGGTACTAAATCGCTGGCAGCCCGGCCTGGCGTTGCTAGGTAACGACGTTTGTTGCTAGAGACTATTCACACAACCAGGTAGACTCCCGTATAAACTCTCTAGGCTTCCACGATTGCTCACCTCATACCCGAGCTCATTTTGGCGTCGATAGAAGTAGTGTGTGAATGTAAATCCTGGTTGGGTTCCTTAGGGGCCGGGATTGAGGCAAATGATGCAAAACCTGGACCGAGAGGAGCAGAGGCTTGTGACACGGCAGTCAGATCGACTGCCCTGCAGGGTTTGAGAACAGAGACGGGAGTTCCACATATTGCGACGTTCAAGCTAGTGCCCTTGAACGGGTTTTACGAGATTAGTTGCTTGACGACTTTGAGATCTCACGATGACACATGTATTTGAGGGTTATGATGGATGAATTATTAATCTCGTGATACGAGTCGAGGACCTCCAATGATCTACAATACCAATTTCCTCCCATTATGCCTGCGACCTTTCCAAAGCTTGGTGATCAGATGTATTGATTACGCCCCAGATCGCGCAGAGCTGTCCACACAGTCGCACAGCAGATGTTGGAAGTTCATGCTGAGTTTGCTCTCTCGTGATCCTCCTTTCTCGCCGACCTCCCCTTTCCCATGATGCACCGCAATAACTTATTGAGTTTCGACTCTTTCGGTGGTTTGCTCAGGTGAGAAGTCTGTTCATAGTGTTGCTGTTCCGATACTTGAGTCTTCGAGGCCACCGGGTATGTGAATGCGGTGAAAGTCTCTCTACCAGCCTGCTGGTTTTGTTGCGACCGCTTCACTGTGGTATAACCAGGTGGCTGTTCAAAGTTCACTCGATGCTGCGAGTTGACATCGTGTTGATTGGAGAAAGAAGAAAGCTGTTCTCGGACTGCGGCCTGAACTGCCGTGGCAATCAAGGCCGGAAGGTTGGATGTGAGTTGGTGCAAGTCCGCTGAGACGGTGTTCAGTGCTGTGTTGAGCATGTTGGCTGATCCATTGAAGGTGTTGCTCTGCGAACTCAGCATAGTGCTCAGGGTGTTGACCTGTGAGGTCATGACTGAATTGAGAGTGTTGATCTGCGCCGTCATTGCTTCATCAAGGGATGACAAGCCATTGATCCGAGACGTCATGCCACTCAGCTGGCTGTCGAAGCGACTGATGTTGCCCTCCATTCGCGAGGCGTTCATTCGCAGGGGGTTGGCGACGTCGAGAAGTGTGCGCTCCGCAATCTGCATGAACTCTTCGGCGATGGCGTCCAAGTCGTCTTGCGTGGGGTTGTTGATGCCCTTGCGCTGAAGTGCCGCCTGCGTAATCTCCAACATGCGGGCTTCCTTGTTGATTGAGTTCATCCAGCCTTGTACCCGATGGTCAATCTCTTCAAGGTTGGATTCACCTTGTTGGGCTTCATCGCGGGCCTTGATGCGACGAGCAATGTCAACCTTGAGGATGTTGTATGCTTGTGGCGGTGGCTGCATGGGATCGCCTCGTACATCGCGAAGACGTTTGAGAAGCCGGTAGTCCTCCACAATGGTTTGGGCATCTTCTGATGAAGATGTTGTCTTGGGGAACTCTCCCGTGTGTCGTGCTTGAAGAAGAGTATCGCGCATCGCCCGGATTTGACCTGGGGTGTATGCTTGCTGCCCGCCAATGATGTGATTTGCAAAACTGGGCATGACAACAAATTGAGGCTGTCCATTGATGGGAGACTTCTGAGAGTCTTGAGGTCCAAGGCTAGGTAGAGACATCTCCGTCTCAGCAGGAGAGTCAGGCGAAGAGAACAAGCTGTGGTTCGGGTTGGTAGAAGAGTCTGATCGTGGCGACGAAGTGCTTGAAGAGAGCTCCCATCGACTGGCCTTGTCGACACAAGATGAAGGCGAGGAGTCACACATTTTGTTCGTGATGAATTGATGTCAAAAGTGTAAAACCGCGAGAAAAGTGGAAGATTGAGGTAACTCCGTCTGCCGGGGGGAGTCAGTTGAACGTTCAACCCTCGCGGTCTGAAGTATGGGGAAAGGGGAAAACGCGGCCGAGGGGGGTCCTCACCAATTGGTCCTGAATTCGGAGTTGTCGAGGTGAAGATTGATGTTCGCGATCAATTGGCCAACTGAAAGAAGATAGAACTGGCTTGTTGCTGTTGTTGAATTGCGAAGAAGTGTGGTTTGAGTCAATCCGCGGTGTGAGAGAGAAGAAGACGAAGAGGCTGTGTGAGAAGAAGTGAAGAAGTTTTTTCTCTGGGCCGGATGGGAGGGAGAAATTCAAATGTGCGTGGAGTGTGCTGAGCAGACCAGCTGAATTTCGCAATTGTGTGTCGGCTCGGGTAAGGTGGCTGGGAGACGAAGGTCGGTTGCTGAGGCGAGGGAAGGAAGTCAGGTGTGGGAAGGTGCGGATGGGAGTAGGTGAAGCGTGGATAGGGCACTCTGGTTGGTCACGTTCTCTGGGCCTGAAAACGGAGGCGTGTGACCTGGACAGGTGCCTTTTTTCTGGAATAATGACAAGGCTGTTTGTCTTGTAGTCGGGAATTGGAGGGAGGAGGAAAGTGCAACTGCCTTGTGTCTGCCTTCTTACCTGCGTTGTTCCGGAGAGGGTGGCGGGTCGTCCGAAGGGCATGCCATATGTTTTGCTCGGTTGGATGAGCTTCAGTCATGTCACCGACGGTCTCTCTTGTCCAAGTTGACTCGATGCCTTGAAATGCTCCTGGTGTCTACAGTATTTTGTGTCAAAGTGCATCATATGTGGGCATGTTCTGCACATTCCGTAGTAGAGAATTCTGTTCAACTGACTGCGCCACGGCCGAGGTGCATCCTGAAGCTCCAGAAACAATAGTCATTCAGCAAGTGATAATCTTGTTCTGAAGAAGAATATTACCCATCGTATCACAAATAGTTACACAGCCCACTGCAGCTGCACAACGAGGTCAGCAGGAGCTGAGGACATCTTCAACGGCCGTGGGGTAAATTAGTAGTGAGACTACTTTGTTGTCTCTGCATGTTCCAGCCTAGTATTTCCCGGATGGCGTCCCAGACAAAAGTCTACTGTGTAGGACATGGAAGGCAGGGGGTTGAAAGAAGCAAGTCCATGCACGGCATCTGAAGATGTCGTCGAATTTAAGTCACCAGTGCTTCGGCGGGATTGGGATGACCCCTGCTCACCGCTGCCGAGACAGGTCCACCTGCCCGATCAGGCAGCGCCACAACGGACCCTTCAACAGCTCACGACGCTCACGTCGCACAAGCAGCTTTCATCGCCACGAGGCAGAAGCTTTTGTAGAAATCAAGTCTTTCTATTCCCAGTATCTCTCGTCCAACGCACTCTGGCTTAAGCATTATGTGTCCCTGCAAATCCGCAGCAACTCGTGAAAGGCAAATCGTCAAGGCAAAGGCGAGCCATCTGTGGTCCTATCCAAAGTTTCGTTAGCAGAATCCCGGTAGGGTCGTCGCGGAGGAATAGCTTACATATCCCGACCAATTGAGCCGCTTCTCGCTCCCCGTGTAACGCGCACGTCTCCGGCCATGCATAGAAAGGCGTCTCTGGCATGAAACTCCAGCCATGTTGGCAAGCCGGTACCTGGGTGCTGTTAAATCTGGAAAGACTCATTGCCCTGGGCGTCATCTGCATCGAATATTCGGTGTTAGTATCGCTCGACACGGACTCGGACGGGGGGGCTCGGAATTCGCCGGAATCGTGGACGGGGCAGCCGGTCGGCTTCTCCACGATGTAGAGAAGTTGCAACTCGTCGTCATCGTCGTCGCGGCCTCGGGAATAATCGCAGTACGAACCGTGGTTGGTGGAAGCCTCGCCAGTAGCCTGGGTCTCCTCCTTGACCTTGAACTGAGCCTCATCCTCCTCCTCGTCCTCATCGTTATAGGAGGTCACGGCGGGGTGGTTGGCCATCTTGGCGCGCTTGGTGTCCTTGGTGGGGGAGGCCTGAGCAGCGCGCTTTCCCTTGGACTTGGGAGTGGCCTTGCCGGTGCCCTTGGCCGGGGTCTTGGGACTGGCGGTGCTCTGGGCCGGGGAGGAGGCGCCGCTCATAGGACCACCCTTCGAGAGCTCACTGGCCTTCAAGCCGTGTGCCTTGAGAAGGCGCTCGAATCGCTTGGCACTGGAGAAACGAGCGAAGTTAGCATGGACGTAGTCGTAAGAAGGAAGATGGAAAAATGAGTCATGACTTACGCAGCAGCTTTGGAGACAATGCTGCAGTCATCGGCAACAGCCTGGAAATCGACCTGCTCAAGTCAGCTACTTTTCCTAAGCCTTGGATACTCAACCTGCACTTGCCTTTCCGCCCTGGGAGTGCTTGATGCAGTTGACCAAGAACTTGACCGAGCCCTCAGCATCAGTACCAACGGAAGCCATGATGAGTATTGTAGTACGAGTTGAGACTTGATAAGGTGTATGAAGGTTCAAAGGTAGGAGTAGTGCTCAGCAAATGAGTCTGTTGGTGTGTGAGCTCGAGGTTGAGTTGTTGTTGTTGAGAAGAGTTGGCTGAAAGTTCTGGTGACAAGTTGCAATAAATGAGAGGGAAATCTCTGTGAAGTAGGATTGGCGAGAGCCACCAGGACAAGAAGCAGGATCATGCGGGTCTGTGACGAGAACTGACCAGGCAAGTGGTCAAAGGATTATACACAACTGGCGAGAGCAGCTGGACAAGAAGCGGGAGGCTTGACAACAAGGCGAGAGCAGGGGGGTTGAAGGCAAGAACCACATGGAACAGAGACGAGCTCGGTCAGGAATCTCAATAGAAGGTAGTAGGCTTCGCAACAACTGACTCGTATGATATAGATTCTGCTGATCGTTGCTTGGGACGACTTTGAGTGCTGAGATCCAAATCAGGGACAACGTGAAGTAGACATCAGATCGAGATGAATATTATGACGCAATGAAGGTGAAAGTTTTCAGTAGACCATTCGAAGTGAAAAGATGACTCACTGTTCTCCTGATGTTGCGGGTAAGGTGGCACTCTCTCCAGCCGTCAGTAATTTGAAGGGTATCTGACGATGTTGAGGCACGCTTAGTCCCACGGTCCAACCAGTCTGGAGGATGATATCCTGTAAGGTGAAGCGAGCTATTGAAACTCCATCAAGCTATGATGTTCCAGACGCAATGGATGGGTGGTCGATCTGAAGCTTCAATCCTAGCATGCTCACGTGAACTCCAGGTTACGGTGGAGATATAGAAACATGGGTCTAAGGACTTCAAGAGCATGTGTATAGCGCTATTAGAGACAAATGCCTGATAATGGGTTTTGTAAACATCAAAGATGTCTAAGAAACTGACAATGCAGGTCATACTAAAGGCGCTCTGTCTCTTTCCAACCATAGTAGGATTCGGTCACACTAGACAAATGAACTGCACCAAAGGATACAAGTAGAAAGGAGAGATGATCGCTTTGGTAAATGCTTCACATCGCTCCAATACAAGATCAATATCAGAAAGCAGAGACTCGAGACCCTGGTTTTTCTTGAAGCTTTCATCGCTCTGAGAATCAGAGCCAGCTCAGGACTTTACAAAAGGGAGACGGGAGGAGCAGCTTTGGGCATTCGAGAAAGCAGTGTAAACCAAACTCAGTGAAAGCAAAGAATCAATTGGAGATTGTCTATCCTGGTCTGCCACTTCCCCGGTGGAACCAATACCACTCCAACCTTGCTCTCTATCCAGATCTCGGTATCGCTTGCACACAATCTCCGGGCCCCATGTAGTCTCGATGCCACCTCTGATATGGACCAAGTCTTGAAAAGAAAAGGATCTAGTCGCTATCACTGGAGCCGTTCATAAGCTCGTCCTTTGCGGCCTTCTGGCCATCAGAGTCGGACTCGAGCTTGGCCGAGATATCCTCGTCGGCATCGCTGTCCTCAGGCTCCGCGGCCTTGACCTTCATGAAAGTCAGCACCCGTTCCATAGATACTCAAAACGGACAAGATTGGAAGCGAAAACGTACCTTTTTCTTGCGCTGTGCAGTGCCCTTCTTCTTGACTGGAGTCTTCTTGACTTTGGCCGTGGTATTGGCACTGAGGGGGCCCTTGGACGGGCTGGAGGCCCCGCCGCCAGAGCCATCAGTGGAAGACCAGCCGTGCTTCTTCGAGATGACGCGGAACTTGTCCTTGGCCGACTTGGCGTTGGCAAGGCCCGTGATTCCGGCGACTTTGTCGAAGTCGACATCAGGACGCGAATTCATACTGTCGAATATGGCTTTGACGAAAACAGTCTCGTTCTCATTGAGGCACAGGACAGGAGCCTCGTCGGCGGAAGCGGCGTTCTTCTTGGGAGGCATCTTGTTGAGACAAGTCAGAGAAATTCAGAAGAGCCACCACCAATTGATCATCGAGAGGAAATGAACAAGCAGAAAATACTTACTGTAGCTTGTCTGCTTGGTGTTCGGTGTTGTTGACGAATAGGTTCGATGAAGGCCAGTGGAGATAATAGATCGGCAAGCAAGGAAACTTGAGGCTGATGGAGGTGGAAAGAAGAGAAGAATTCTCAGCTTCAGTCTGAGCTAGAGAAGTTTAAATGATTTGGGAAGTCAAAAGAATCACAGGTTCAAGAAGGAGCTCACCTCAAGCACCCGGCTCGTGAGAGCGGGTGCTGTATCATCAGGGTAGGCAGCTCTCTCTGGCCAGGGAGCGGTCGACTAGACGATGCCCAGGTAACGCAAATATGACGATGTTTCCAACAGAATAACGACAGTCAGCACAAGGAATGCTTGCACAATGTCAGGAAGCCCGGGCTAAGAAAAGTAGGATGGCGGACAATAGCCAGGCTTCGAACATTGGTCCAGAACCCAGGAGAAGAGGCTAGATCTCAGGATGGTATGTTCTATTGTCAGAGAAACTCGGGGCTCTTGTGGTGTGATACACTTTCCACCAATTTCTCCAGAACAAACACAGAAATCCGTGTTACGCCCCTTCGAACGATATTGCCCTCATCATGGCCATAACAGATGATGCTGTATCTTACCTATAATGTTGGAATACACAACATACAGCAGACTATCAAGCAACGCTTGTGAGAGTAAATATAGCAGTAATTCTTCACATCAATATTTGTCACCAATGGTATTTGAAGGTGCCACAGCTTCGCTGTTGGCAGTCGAATATTGACGCACATGCTTTACGCATGCGGGAATCTCCCTAGCGGCATACAAGCTTGAATCCGAGAACCATCCTACCACTTTCCCCAATCCTGGGACCTCAAGTCCATAGCAAGGATCGTTTCCATGGCTCTTAAATCCTCCTACAAAAGTGGCTTAGACGTACGCGTCCTCGAACTTGATGCCAGCCGTCTTGGTGGGGGTGTCATCCTCTCCCTCATCACGGGCATCCTCCTCCGCCTTTACCTCATCATCGGCATCTTCCTCCGCCTTAACCGCGCTCTTACCCTTGTTGGCCTTTGCGCCAACGCGACCTGCAGCTTTCTTGACCTTGGATGCGGAGCCAGGGGTGCCGGCGGAGGCCTTGGAGGCAGCCTTCTTCGGAGTGGTCTGGATGGTGCAGTTGTTGAACTTGCGCTTGATCTGGCCCCATCGAGTCTGTTTTTGTTTCTTCGTTAGCATACTTTGAAGTGAAACGCTGAGACTTGTGTCTCTTGGTAGAAGGTAAGGAACAAACATGGGCGACGGTTGTGTTCTTGAAGCCTGCAGCGTCAGCGAAGCTCTGCCAGTCGATGGCAGGCTTCTCCGTCATGTGCTGAAATATCTGGATCATGAAGTTTATGTCGCTTTGCGACGGAGTGGGGGCGGTATTCTCAGACATTTTGATTGTCTATACTACTCTGGTCAGCGTGGGGAACTCCATAGTTGAAGGCGCAAATGACAGAATGTGACTGACCGTGGTAGAAAATGCTGGGTAATGGAGGTTGTGCTATGTGCCTAAGCTTCTCAGTCTGTTCCGGCTTGTGAATATGTTAGTCTGAACAAGAATACTTAGTATAGAAGAACATAACTTACTTTTTGGTAGCCGAATATGGCGTGTTGTGTTGCCTAGGTAATTGCGACGGTTGAAGATGTGATGATGGCGAAGGAGGAAGACTCGAAAATCCGGAGTGGGTGGGCGTTTTTATGGGAAGTACGGCTAAAGAAAACAGGAAGGAACTCTAGTATCGGTCTAATTAATTCTCAACGAGAAAGAGTTGGAGGGAAGGAGACGGCAAAAGGAAATCGAGGTTCAGCTGAAATGCTGCGGCTTCAGGGCGGGAGTCCACGATCCTACACGCCTGGCACTACTTACGCACGTGAGTGACAGATGAACCGAGTCTGAGATCACATACCGGTTGGTAGATACAGCACCAGATAGCTAGCTGCTTAGCTGCGTGGAGTCGATATAGATCTGACAAAGAATGTTCCCTTACAAGTCCTTACAGATACTGCAAGTGAAGAACTTGGACATATGCTTTGGTAAGCGTATGTTGATAGAACGATTTTCTCCCATATGACTACAGTATAGTTTCTAATTGTTCCAGTGCTAGGGCTCCTCAGGATGACCAAATTCAAGCTTGACAGTCGTCCAGTTATCGTCTTCGACCAGGTTTCAGCACGATAACAAAACTTGCCACAGGTATGTTTATTATTGAAGTTAGCCGGCATGTTTCGAGTCGGCCAAGTGATCTTAGAGCGGTATACCGAGCCCCGCACCACTTTCGACTGGCCTGTGTATCTAGAACCTCAGTTGATGCAGCTTTCAAAGAGACTCTGGAGCACCATTGATCATGTTATGGTTTCTGCGTATATCTATCTGCACGCCTTCTAACTGGCGTTGAGGACAAATAGTCTCATTCCAGTGCCGCACAAGGTATGCCGTTGTAAACTCTGCTGAATTGGGGGTTTAATCAGTTCATCGTTTTGTTGTTGATTCACGAGTCATTTTTCATCATAGTATTGCATATGGCTACACCTACTAAGGTTGGAATCAATACCGGCCACCGCCTCGATTAAACTATACTAACTACGGCTCCGTTTCATTTATGGGGGCCTCGCAAGCCTCGGTACATCGTGGTTCTCGAAGTAAGTAGAGAGGAGTTTCATCAGAATCCACGTGTCTTCCGAGGCGGACAAAGTGTTAGATTGGGACATGGCATGACCTTCCAATCCGTCGATGCAAGTAATTCGCCACCAGTACGGTTTATGCCAAGGGAAACTCACTTAGTTTTAGTCACGACCATTCTCTCTGGGGCGCAAAGTGGTATTTTAAATTCATCCCGTCAAGTATTTGGCATTCCGTCAAGCATACAACATCCCAGATACTCATATGTGTTTAAAAGAAAACCTCACGCCCTCAAACTTAGGTCGGCACAAAACCACAAACCCATCTGGTCAGAACTGTGAGATAGACATTGACCTAGTAGACCCCTCTTGATCTATCTTCATGGATTTCCTTAGCTACTCCAACTGAGAGTGAGCATGTACTAAGTCTGTTCTATTGGCCGACCCATGAGTTGCCTCGATCCAACGAAGATCAGGTTGCAGATACCCTCGCATTCGGTTGGTATTCTTGAGGTGGAACGCTGCCAGCTCTTGGACGCATCGAGAAAGACCCCTGGGGTGGCTGCTCCTTCATCAAGAGGAAAAGAAGACACTGTGCGCTTCTTCTTCCGGTGGCTCGAGGATGCGGGAAAATATCCCTCCTTCGACGACTTCGAGAAGGCTCATCACACGGCCCTTTTGCTCTGCGACCCGGTCTCTGGGCTGTCGAGCCCATGACTGTTGGCTATAAGATCGAGGCCGACCTATAGCAAAGTACCGTCACCTCGGCCTTCAAGGCGAACTTTGTCCGCGGCGGTCTCGTCTTGAACACCCACAGCTATCACGCCGCTGTCGATGTCATGGACTGGGCCGGCTTTGTTCGCCAGCTTCTACGCTGCTCCAAGGTATTCCAAAACAGACATAGGCCACAGTGCAAAGGAACAAGGATATCGATCGATACGTTGGGAAGGACGGCTAGTCTCTGCCCGTAAACTCTGGATAGTGTGGAGGCATGCGCCGCAATCGAGCAGTTGTCTCACGCGATCCGGCTGCGATCCCGAGGGCGTGTTTCCCAACTCACATTCCATCTTACAGTCAACCAACCCCTCAACGCTCGAATTGCAATACACGCAAACATCCAAGACAGAACCATTCGGATCCTCCTCCCAAACACCCAGTCGTACAACCTCACCCCCTCATACGCATCAAACCCCCTGGATCTTGTAAAACAGCCTCTTCATCGAGGAGCTCGCCATGAACCAGTCCCCGTCGACCTTCTTCCATGTCTCGTAGTAATGGCCCGCGCCCGTCACGTGCAGGCCGTCGGTGCCCCGCGTGCCGGCGTGGTAGACGAGCCCGAAGATGGCGCGGACCTCGTCCTCGGCGACCTGCTCGAGGTCCCCCATGTCGACGAGGTGCATCGACTGCATGGCGCTGAGCGAGGCGCTGAAGTGGGCGACCCATTCGGCGCGCGACTCCCAGCGGTACCGCAGGCCGTTCTCGACGAGGACGTTGCCGTCGAGGTCGACGCCCTCGAAGGTGAACTCGGGCAGCATGATGGTGTCGAAGCGGTCGAACTCGAGGCTGTCGGCGAAGCGGCAGTACTGCGCCTTCTTGCGGCGGATGGTCTCGGCCGTCTCGGCGGAGATGACGAACTTCTCGGGCATACTTGGCGGTGATGGGTTTCAAGATGGGGTTTGTAGTGACTTCAAGCGGATGAGTGATTTAATGAACGAATGCGTATTTCGCGAAACCCCCGCTGCTCTTAAGGAAAACCACAATGGCGATTTCCTCGTCACACCTCATCTTTCTGTCAGCCTTGGCCGGCAGGCAGAAGAGGGGTACCGGGGATGCGGTTGGCCCTATCGATATTCGACATCGTCTTCCTGCAGCGGAGGAGTAGCCGCTTGAAGAAACTCGGAGTCGCCCAGCCACCTGAATGACGTCCTGGTTCCTGCAGGATCGGAAGAAAGTCACGTAACCCCACTTCATCGTGGCATCTCACAACGTTGTTGCAGATGCGCATCATCAAGTTCGCTCAGCAGCATTCGGAGATTTTCACGTCGCGTGCTTTGAACTGGATCCAAAGCCAATGCAGTTGGCAATTGTCATCGTCCTCGCCTTGGAAAATGTTACATATCGAGGTTCATGTGCCTGGCGTCAAGCCTGCGCGTCTCTGGTCAGCTCACTCGAAGTCCCGCGATATGGAACCACACGCAGCAACAGTCCTTAGGGCATTGATGGTGAGGACGGCGAGGCCCGGTGCGGCAATCCATGACGGCACGACGAAGTCCCCCGGTGCTCCGGTACAAGAGTCTCGACATGTCCGTTCGATACAGACGCATTGCAGCACGAACATGCAAAACCCCACCTCTAGTCGACGGAGCAGGGTATGCCCAAGACTTCGTTTTCGGTTGTACGCCATAAGTGAAGCGGCAACTCCTTCGAACCCGAAAAAAAGCTGTGTAGTTAGTGTCTTGATAGTTCGGGGCATCTGTGACAAGCGAGACAATGTTTCCGACCTCCCTTTTCTGCGTGTAAGTGGCATGACCGGAGACAATACTGCGACAAGCGGCCTCGATATCCGCAACCGGGCCAAGACCAGCAGCAACCAGCACGATTATCCCCAACCTCAACCATCGAGTTTGAATCTCACGATGTCTTGGCTCGCCAGACGCATATGATACTGTTGAAACCTCGTCTACAACCCATGCCTGCTGGCACTACGTGAAACCCCATGGATATACACCCACGCCCGGCCAAAGGCGCCGACGAGATCAACAGAACCCAAGACGGCCACTTCTTCATCTCGATATGCATCGCCCTTGGCGCTGAGGCACTCCCACCATGTTAGCCGTAATCGAAACGCTTGCTGCTATACACACTCCCGGGGAAACCACAAAAGCGCCCTCCGTAAGTCGGTTTCGATCTGCGGGATAACCAATCATCCCAAAACACAAGAGTCCCTCTACGTGAAGCCAGACGCAACGCAACGCCACAACCAAAGCGGCTGCAACCATTCCGGTGAGAGAGGGCGAAAAAGTCGTACGTAATAAACGACTTGATATCCGCACGTGAACCCCTATTGGGGGGGGGGGGGAACCGTTGCGAAAAAGACTGGGCCTGCAAATGAAGACACGCAATCCAGACCGCGTCCAGAGACGGCGATCACCCCCCCTCGTCCACGCGTGGCCACGAGCAGCACTGACGATCAGCCAGATCGGGGCCGATGGGGACAATGCGGCCAAACCTCGCTGAAGAACCGGGGGCCATCACCGCCCCCGGCCGTCTGCCTCACGTGTGGCGGAGCAAGGCGTGGAGCTGGTCGTATGAAGAAATTACTGTCTCTCTCTCTCTCTCTCTCTCCCACCGTCCGATCGTCGGACGGGATCGACCGCAGCCTTGGACGATCCAGAGACGGTCACACACTCGGCCGAGACGTCTCCATTCCAATCGACAAGGCTCTTCCCGTCTGCTGTCCGCATCCGCATTGCAAGCCAAACCATCATCTATCCCGGCCCTCGTGAGATACAGAATGCCCCCCTTCCCCTTAGTTGACGGGACCGGCGAGATCGTGATGCTGATGTACGGGTACACCAAGAGCCCCGAACCCCGCTCGCCCTCACAAGGTTTCCCACAAACGGCATGTTCCGCGGCGTGTTTTGCTTGCACGCGCACGCAATTATCAAACGCGTCCGCAACAGAAGACGGAAATGCGCGGGCGCCGACAACAAAAGGTTCAACGGCCTCGCCGCATACCTCACTCATGCTGTTTCGTGACGTTCCCCAATCCGGCCCCCCCCCCCCCCCCCCCCCAAAAAAAAAAGGTTAAAAAAAAAAAACCGTTTCCGGGGGGGGGGGGGGGAAAACCCCTCCCATTCAGCAAGGTACGCCAAGAGAAGGCTCACCTATTTATTGCGGGAATAAGCTGCCCGCGGGACGTACTAACCGTAGTTTACATACACACTGTTAGGATCAAGGGGGCCCACTAATCCACGTAGTAACATTCTCTGTCTCGTGCTTAAAAGGAGATGAAGATTTCGCATACGTATGTATTACCATGTCGATGTTGACTCCAGTTGGGCGCATGGTCAACGGCCTCGCCGCATACCTCACTCATGCTGTTTCGTGACGTTCCCCAATCCGGCCCCCCCCCCCCCCCCCCCCATACAACAGACCGTTACGAACGAACACTACCGTTTCCAGGAGGATGGGATGGGGACAACCACTCCGTCGCGCATTCCTAGCCCGTCCGTCTACCGCTTAGCACGTTTTCCGTTGTTCCGGATCGCCTACCTCCTGAGTAATCCGGCAGCAACCGAGCAAGAGCCGAAGCCCCTGGCCCCCACCGGAAGACGTAGTTCCACGGTAAAGGGTTAGCAGGGTGTGAAAGAGAGAGAGAGAGAGGATATCATGAGCGTGAACGTCAACCCACAGCTGCCGCGTGTGAGCGGCCCCGCCGCTAGTCCGGATAAGGACCCCCTGCCGCGCCGGTTCAGCGTTCCCTGGCTTCCGGGACCCATAACCCGTAGGCCGGCGCAATCTCGGGGAACCAGGGTTCGACAGAACTCAACCATCCACCACGCTGGCCGGGTGAGAAGCAAAGCAAAGCGAAGCAAGCAGGTAAGGCAAGCAGGCAAGGGAAGCAAAGCAAACACACAGACACTTTACGGCATACATACACTTCCCCCTTGCAGAAAGCAAGTAAGCAAGCAGGCAAAGCAAACCAAGGAGAAGGGAATGATAACCATCTAGCGACGTTCTAGAAGGACACAGGCCTCCCCCCTTCATGGTCCGCCCATCTCGCCTCGCCATCCAGTATCCCCCTTGGGCATCAATTCCAGTCGCCCGGTCGCTCGGTGCACCAGGGAGGAGGCAGGGAACTGAATCGCGGCAGACGAGAGGGAAAACGAGTATTGACAGATGTCTTGCCGGGGCTGGTGTGTGTGTGTGTGTGTGTGTGCGTGTGTGCGTCGTTGTCGTTTGCCGTGCGCTTGCTTCTCCGGGAGCTTGGGGCCGGTCAGGGCGCGCGCCTCGATTTGCAAATACCTAGATGCGACGCCCGGACGCGGGACGCGCACGACATTTTCCGTGATGGCTTCACTTCCCTTGTTAGGCACCTGCACTATTCTACCCTATACCCTAGGGAGATGACGCCAGCACCAACACCATCGCCGCCGCCGCCGCCGCCGCCGCCGCCGCCGCCGCCTCCGCCACAGGGTTCAAAAAAAGAAAATGTGGCGAACGGGAAAGACAATCGGTACTATGCTGATGCTCGGTGTGGCTCCGGTGTGTCGCGTCAGACCCCTTCTCTTTGGCACGTTTCAGTCTGATCTTAATCCTCCCAGTCTGTGCTGCGCCGGCTGCTGTTGCCGCTGCTGTTGCTGCTGTAGGAATAGTGTGCGAGTAGGTATCCGTGTATCCGTACTCCGTACTGCGTGGTATAAGGATCGTCGAGTAATGGCCTCCACAAGCACGGGCCGGATACGACTCCGCTGCAGCCGGCCGTCCCCATTCGACCGGGGCATGTGCTTGTCGTGGCATTATTCGTTGGAGGAGAGAGCTTTGTTTCAGTCGCAGCGCGAAACACTGGACGACGGTGAGGGAAGCCAAAAAGACAAGAATGATGCCTGTCGTGATCGGTCCCGATAACCACCAGTCAGTCAGAAGCCGTAAGCAGCCTGTCTCCCACGGGCCAGCAGCCGATCGTCGTCCCCCCACCCCTTTCTGTTGCTTTTCGCAACTAGGGGGGAGCTACTCACTCTAGAGTCTACTGTGAGTACGTCCCTGCATGCGTCCTAAGCTCCCCGGGATGCTTCTTGCCAGCGCTTTTCTCGAATCAAGAGAAGCATGCCTCCCCCCCCAGCCTGAACTGGATTGAGCTGGGTTGACTGGTTTGAACTGGGATCACTGGTTTGACGAGGCAAAGGGTCTAGAACGAGAAGCTTCTTGCTTTCTATAGGACCCTTGAGCTTGAGGGGGGGGGGGGGGGGGGTTTGGTCGACCTCGGAACAAGACCGTGCCGTTGACTTTGCGGGGACCAGTCACGTCTCAAGGAACCGTCTTTGGGATCCGATTCGCAAGGGGGGCAAAGCAAAGGCACAATCCATCACACAATCACCATTCTCAGCTTTGCTTTTCCAATCCTCCCATCGGCTGTGGCTTACGACGCAAACGGTGACTCTCGTTTTCTTTCTTTCTGGGTTTCTTTTTCGCGAGGGCAGAGGGAAGGGGGTAGGGTTGCTCCCCGTCGCGGCGCAAAACTCCATTCGCGACCCAATCCAAAGCCGCCGTTTGGTGGTGGTTTGTGTGCGACCAGGAGGAGGAGGAGGAGGATGTGAGGAGAGGGACAGACCGCCTGCTGCTGTGTCGGTATGCGCGCAACGTAACGGCGTTCTGTCCTCCGCCCCCCCCCCCCCGAGGCAAGTTTGTAAGCTTTCGCTTTGGGGGGGGGTGGGTTTCGACAGTCAGACAAAAGGATTGATTATTGATTTGACTGACCCGTTCCCGACTTTCCCGGGGCTGACGGGCTGGCGTATTAGCCAAGTCGGCCTGCGACGCATGGCTTGTGGTGATCCGGGGAAGATACAAAGACGGCTGCGAATTTAGTGGTGGCCGTAGCGTACCGTACCGCGCGCTGTCGTCAATGTTAATACCTAGCTGATGACTGTGCCTAAATGGGATCCGGGCGCGCCACCTCCAGTCTGAGTCAGAAGCCGGGGAAGTCAAGGCCGCGGGGTCGGGCGCACTGGCGATGGCGGGTTGGGGCCAGTCCAGTCCGGTCCAGCTCAGTCAGTCGGCGTAACACTTGCGATACGGCAATGCTACGTATGGCTAGGCAGGGCAGTAAAGGCACGAATAGAAAGTGGCCGTTGGGTGCTGACTCTGGGCAAGGAAGCAGGCGGTAAGTCATGTAAGCCGGCCTGTACGGAGTACTCTGTACATAGAAGAAGGGCGGCCTGATCTGGTCTGGTCTACGGAGTAGTACTACTATGTGCCCGTCACCGCCTTCCAGACAGTATTACTCGGTAATGTAATTCTAGTGGTGGTGTGCGTGAGTGCATGTGTAGGATTCCGTGTCTGGGTCGTATTGCGCCCCCAAATAGGCATTGGCATTGACATTGACATTGGACGTCTCAGATGTCGAATCGACGATTCAGACACATTGAATATTGGAGGGGAGAAGCAAGCGTGCGGCTAGTCAGCAGCAGTCAATCAGTCAATCAGTCAGTCAGTCAGTCAGTCAGTCAGTCAGTCAGAAGCAAATCCGGGCATGCATCGCAAGGCAACCCCCGTCCAACCATATCGTCGCGCCAGCGGGTGTATTCGTAGGTTCGTCGCAATCCTATCTGGATGCGGAACCGGAACCGGAGCCGCCCCGGAGGAGGAGGAGAGGGTTTTCTGCCGTTTGCTGGCCAGAGTCCCGTTGGTGTTCCGTGTCGGTGTTTTTCTCGTCAGTGATGGTGGTGGTGATGATGTCGGTGGTTGCTCCGTCAGGAATGGAATAATTGCGGACATGCAACGGAATGTTCCTACGGGGGGGCCACGCAAACATGTCGCATCGTTGCATCCGGGGGCCGACCAACCATCCATGCATCCAAGCCAGTTGCATTCCCACGAGGCATTGCCCTGAATCATCCAATTCGCAAACGTAGACGGGGCATGGGGTGTTGTTGGGATTCAGGCACAGTTCGTGTTGGTCTTGCCTGCCGGGACGGGAAAACCACAACCAAGGGGGGCGTGAAGCTCCTTTCCGGACCTGTCACCTTGCGTGTTACCAAACACGACGATGATACGCCCTCCGACTCTGTATGATGTGCGGAGGGTGTTACTGCTCTGAGATGGATTGACAATCCCGACTCCCCGGTGGAAGAAAGTACAAGCGCCGGTAATGATCAGGACCCCATGTTCCCTCCCGCCTCACCCTGCCCAAGGCGACTCCGGCGGCCTGGTACTGCTTGGGCTTCAGGATTAAGATGAGCATGCGCCGGGGGGAGGGAGAGAAGCCTCACGACGGGGAAGGCTGGATGAGGAGCCGGGACCGACAAGCCACGGGTTACCTTCGCTTCGTGACAAAGGACGCCGAGGGGGACTGGCACTGACACTGACGGAGTGCAGGGACGGAAATGAAGACCCCCCAGGGTTGGAAAAACTTTTAAATGACGAAAAAACAAGGAGTTTCCCCCTTTGCTTTTTTGGCCATGGTCGCGAGACCGGGGGCATCTGAACCGGCCCAGTGGGATTGGATGGGGCAAAGTACTACCTGTGTAATACCCAGGGTGCCAGGAAAAGGAAGTCGAGACTACATAGTAGACAGACTATACCCAGACTCGAGAGACAACGGGGGGGGGGGGGTGCGGTAATGCCGTTGCTGCGTTGGGCGCCCTTGTTTGCCTTTGCATCCCCTTTGGTAAATTGCAAACTGGGGGAAAAAAAAAACCCCAAAAAAAAGGACAGAGAGAGAGAGAGAGAGTGTGTGTGTCCTGGTCGAGCATCGCGTCTTGGCGGTAAGTACCTGCCTAGGGTGAGGCGGAATGGCCTCCCGGCGCTGATGCAAATGCGCGATGGGCGATGGGTGGGATTCGATTCGATGCGATGCGATGGGCCGGATGAGGACGGTGTACAAAAAGGTTTTGACGATGCTGGATGCAGCAACACATGGCAGATTGGCCTGCACACCTACTTTTCTTCTCGACTCCCTCGGCATGCTGCTGATAACCAGCCAACTAAACTCTATGCTCAACAATCGGTACGGAGTGGCTTGCTTCTTGTTGGTGGTACAGGGCCTTTCGGACCAGGAACGAGACGGGAAGACGCCATCGCCTCAGCAAATGGCCAGCCGGCATGCGGGACGGACGAAGGCTGGCGGTGAGGCGCTGTACTGCGTAAGATGAGTTGGTGTGCGGTGTGCTTGCTGCCGGTTCGACTGGGCCTGTGGTTCCCCGGACGCGGCGCTTTCGTTTGTCCTCGTCGCTCGTTCGTCCGTTGCGTGCTTCACTTGGGGGGTGTGTGTGTGAGTGAGAGTGTGAGTGCGAGAGGAGAGTGTGTGCGACGGTTGATCGATGCTGTCGTCAAAGTTCAATATCCAGATCAAATGAATGCGATAGGCCTCACCCCCGCCTTTCCTCGCGAGGCTCGCACATCTGTCGCAGAGATGCAGCGAGAGATTGGCGATGGGCAGAGAGAGGGTTTGTCCACAGGCCAAGACGGCAGCGCGTGCCAAAAAGGCCGGACGAGGACCATCTGATGCCTCTGGCGCGAGGAAGGCACCGAGCGCGTGCCTTCTTCTTGATCCTCTGCTCTCTTGCCCTGTTCTGTTCTGTCCTGGACGTGCCAGTTCTTTGGGCGCCCCGGGGCAGCCCAGACTTTCCATCCGCGGGTAGGGGCCGCGGAAATGGCCAGGGCCAGGCGATACCTAGTCGAGGACGATCCCCCAATACGGTATCTTATCTACCTATCCGTAGCCACTACGTACTACCTACCTACTCAGTATCTCTATAGAATCCGTACCAACCAAGGGAACTTATACCCGCCGTCAGGCCTTAGAGAGGAGACGGCAGGGGAAGGGGGTACAGGGGACAGGGCCTTTCCTAGCGTACCCGTACAGCATGGCCTTGAGGGCCTGAGAGCCAGCGTTCATGTCCTTTCGGGTGAGCTCAGTCGGCCAGCCACGTTACATGGTATGTTGTCAAGTACCCACCGCGCGTAAAGTATATACAGAGGTACCTACCTTGCGGCCATGACTCTCTCGCATCTTTCCCCCCCCTCCCTGTGCCTGCCGCTCTCCAGACGTGCAGGCAGGAGAGAGAGGCGGTCAAACACCGCTCATTCTTTTTCCGTTTTCCGCTTTCTTTTTTCCCCAGGGTGCCTGCCGCCGCGCTGCGCTGTAGGTAGGTAGGTAGGTAGGCCCTGTCGCCAACGCTTCTCCCGTTGCTTCCCCGTCTGCGGGCTGTGTGTGTGTGTGTGTGTGTGTGTGCAATACGGTAAGTCGCCCAACGGTTGCCCTCTCCCATATAGATCCGTACTTTCACGATAGTCACGATAGCAATACGGGCGCCCTTCCCACACTGCCGGCTGTGGCTCTCCCCTCTCCGTTCCAGCCGGGCCTCTCGCCCCCTTTGGGCTGCGACAATCTCTCAGGTCCGGTCCAGCTGTGCTGCGGAGGGGGACAGAGTGCTGCTGTGTGTGTGTCTCCTACATAGTACGCGCGTGGGGGTGGACAAGCGACACAGGCACACCGACCGGGGTTGCCACTGATTGAATCGGCCATTGACCGGCGAGTCGGCCAGACACGCACGATAGAGACAGACAAGAAGACAAAAGAGTCAAGAGAGTCAAGCCGTCGGCATCGGAAACTGGAGTTGAGACTCGGAATGGAGGGCCTGGAATGCAGATTGACTCCCTTGCATACCTTGCGTGGTTGGTGTTGGGGGAGTGGTTGCACCGCTATACTCCGTACACAGTAAGGGTTACAAGGCCGTCCGTTCGTTTTCCATCCTTCCCCACGGGCGCATTCCCCCCCCGCGGCCTTGCGACTCGTCAAACCCGGGGGGCTTTTTTTGTGTGTGTGTGTGTGTGCGTGATTGTTTGCTTGCTTGCGCCATGATGTTGTCTTTTAGTGTTTTCTGAACAGACGGGTTGATCCGCTCGTGGGTTGGTCTTCGTTTGTGTGTAAAGTTGGTGTATCATGACTCTTCGGGTCTGCCGTCCGAGTCATCTGGGTGTTTCGACAGGAAACCATCACGAGAAACCAACCGTCCAGCGTCATCACGATATAACGACGGCGTCATCGTCGTTAGCACGCCAAAGAAAAAAAAGGAAAAAGACAAATAAACAAACTCCCGGTGGAGGGACACCACCACCACTACCCTCAGCTAACCAGCCAACTTAGACTCAGTCAGGCGCAGACACGAGAACACACACATACACATCATCATAATCGTCACCGCGGAAAGCAGGATTTCTATTTTGCTAAATGCGGCCATACCCTCCCTTCTCAGTACCGTGATACGACAAACGGAGACGCGGCGGCTGCTGCACCGTACCAACAATAGCCGACGGACGGACTCTCCCAGCAACGCCACGGCCAACAGGAGGGAGCAGCCAAAAAAGGCCCAGGCCCAGGCCCAGGCCCAGGCCCCCCGCGGTCCCCAGTAATCGCAGTAATCGACGGAGAGAGAGAAGGTCAGTCCAAGGATCAGGAATTCAGAAATACCGTGTTCTCTCCCCCGAGACCGCTACCTGCACGAGTGTTCGTACCTACTAATAGGCACTCCGTATAATAGGTACCTACCCACCGACACGCCTCGACCGTCTGGTCCCGTCTAGTTTCCGTCTCGCACGCCCCCCTTTCCATCCTTCCTTCTTCAAACCGACAACTGCAACCGCCTTTCCTTCCGTCTTGAGCCCTCAGCTCTCGGGTCTTGACCGCGTACCCCCTTCACCCCCCCCCCCCCCCAATTTTCCACCCCCAACTGACTCTTTCCTTCTGCTATCTTTCTCATTCACCCCCCAACTTCCTTCTCCGTCACCGCCTCCCTTGCCTTGTTTTCCCATCCCTTCGGGATCCCGGGAACGCTGTTGCCCCCAATTTTTAGGCTAGCAAAGTACCAACCTGGCCCACCCTACGAAATTCCTCGGAACGTTGCTCTGCCCAACCTTGCACCCCCTCCCCTCTCCCCTTCACCCCCCCGGGTCGTACCCCCTTTTCTTCCACACCCCCCCCAGCACGCCCCTCTGGTTCCCAAGAAGACCAGAGCAAAGGGAGACGCGCCCTCTTCGACTTATAAGTCTCCCGTGTCCACCTTCCTTCCACACTCACAGTTCAACGCAAGATCAACAATATCCACAACCAGAGTCGTATACGAACAAGACTTCACAACACTCAAGCAACTCTCACCAACCCTCACCTTCACATACATACATCTACACTCAAACACACGCACACACACATCGCAGCCATGTACGGCTCATACGGTTCATACAGCTCCATGGGCGCCGTCTCCATGACCGCCCCCATCGACATCACCCCCAGCAACATGCTCGCCCACGACCGGTCGTGCGCCTTCCCTTCATGGCCGCGCCGCGACACCCTCGCCGACTTTGACGGCGAGTCCAGGGCCACCTCGTACCTCTCGGACGAGGACCTCTTCCCCCAGGACTTTGAGGACGACTCCCACAGCGTCGCCAGCTCCGGCAGCTTCTCCTCCCCCAACTCCCGCTCGCCCCAGATCAACGAGGCCGAGCTTCTCAACATGGAGCGCGAGCGCATGGCCATGCAACGCGAGGCCCTCCGCTGCGTCATGCTCGAGAAGGAGCGCCGCCGCCAGGCCGCTCTCCAGCAGAAGAAGTCGCAGCGCCGCGGCAGCTCCAAGAAGAGCCCCAAGAACAAGCTCGCTTCCATGACCCCAATCGCCGAGTGAGAGCTTCAACGGCAAGCAGCTGCTTCTTCTCCTCGTGCCTTGGCACCTCGCAACCGCCTACACCTTGTTCGGACGACACGTCTCGCCCAACAAAACTTTAATCAACAATACCACGGCACATGCACAGCTTGTTGCCGGCGAAGACCACCCGATGTGCCTTGGCGACCTGGTCCCAGGCCTACCCTGGTCTTCTAAACATACACACAACAACACACCCGGCCACTAATCACCGTGACCGAGGCATCGAAACTCGGATGCTACCGCCACCGCCTCTACTGCTCAGCCAGATGATTCCAAACCGGCCTCTTTGCAATAGCATGGAGCCACTTGGGACGGCGTGTGGGCCAAAGCCGACTGTGGGTGAGTGTGTCTCAGCCACACTTGCACAAGCCCCGGTGGTGTCGGCCAAATACCAAGGGAAGAGTCAGCCGGGTACTGGAAAGCCGGTGTGGCAGGTGAGAGGGACAGGTGCAACCAAACACCTGTATCCGTGGACTCGTGGGGTGCATCATGGGCCACAAGCATTTCACATGCTGTGAAGGCTGGTTTTTATTTTTCTTTGCTCTTTTTTTTTTTTTTTTGTGCATTTCATGTTGATACCCCCCCTGTACGATGACCCTCCGGGGCCACGCTATTATTTGTTTGCAGCATGGAGTTTTTTCTTGTTTGGTTGGAAATGGATCGGTCAACGGATCGACTTTGGGGGAGGAATCGGGTAGCACCATGGGCTACAGCACATTTGCATCTGCATTTTACCGGGGTTCCATCATGGACCATTATCATCATCATCATTAGTCCTCCCACGGCATCGTGGGGGACTGCTTCACAACTTAGCTTAGTATTAGTACGAGATACCCTTCGCCTCGCGCGACAACAAGATTTGATTCTATTCTTTACACAAACATAATGGTTACAATACTCGCGTGCCGTGATTGCAGGAAGAGGAAAGGAAAAGCAACAATCAGACAGGCCAAGATTAGCAACCCGATGACTTCATTATTGCATTCCCGGCCATGATTAGACACCTTTGCCTAGCTAGACATGTGTCTCGGAGGCGTCACACACAGACACGGACACAGTAGTAGCACATGGGGAGAGAGCAAGGTGTCGGGATGGATGGGTTGCGAGCGGAGAGTCATAGTTTGTGCGCGTCAGCATGCGTGGCCGACTCGATTTACCCCAAGGGGAAATCATGGGACGGGGGATGCACCGGCCGGCGACCGTGGAGGAGGGAGGAGGAGAAAGAGAGAGTGTTGCTGAGGTGAGTTTCGCGCCGACTGGCTGATCAGCTTACGCCGCGGCCGTCGTCGGTGCCGGCGTACAGGAAAGACGAGGGGAGGAAAATAAGCGAGGCGCCGACCAAAGGAAAACAAACCTGTTGGGGGGGGGGGAGAGAGAGAGAGAGACAGAAGGTTTGCGCTGTTGTTAGGCAGAACAGAGACAGGCAGACAGCTATTGGTGTTGGTGTTGGTGTTGGTTCGGCGGGCGGTGTCGTCATCGTCGACGCTGGCGCTCTCTCGCCCGTCTGGTCTTTGGGGGGGGGGGGGACGGGACAAGCCTTGACGCAACACACGCACGCAAACACATGGATCCAACACGCACACCACGCACACACGTTGGACGCTGAGAGTTTGGGGGGAAGGGGAGGAGGGGCCAGGGCCAGAAGAGGGACATTCTGGATCTCTCACTGTCTTTCTGTTTCTCTTTCTCTCTCTCTCTCTCTCTGCGACTCTCTCGTGCGCTCGCTTGCTCACTTCTCAAACGGTCGGAAACGGCCGGGAACCCCATTCAGATGCAATCGCCGGCACTTTTTCACCGGGCCCCAAAAAACCGGCAAACTGGGCGCGCTGGTTGGCGGCGGGGCTGGCTGGCCTGGCTGGCCTGGCTGCCCTATCCCCCTCCCCACACCTCCTCTTCAGCCCCGTAACGGACCCCGTATCAGCGCCCTCTCGCTGTGTTGTTCTGTGCTGTGTTGTTGTTGCTATTGTTGTTGTATGGGTGTGTGTGTGTGTGTGTATGGGTGTGTGTGTGTGTGTGCGCTGCGCTCTGCTGCCACCCGGCGTCGTTTAGCCCAGCTCGTGTCCAGTGGCCCTCTCTCTCTCTCTCTCTCCCCCCACACCCGTCCGAAGGACACAGCCTCACTCTCGGCTCCCAGACTTTGAACCGCATTACGAACGCCTATTTTCCTCTCGTATGCCTTCCTGTTTTGCGCCACGGCAGATACCTCGGGCGAACCCTAGACGAGGAGGCCCAAAAGTCATCTATTCTTGGGCCAAAATGACCAATATGCAGCCCCCAGATCCCCCGGTTTTTTTCACTTTACGGATACTGTCCCGGCATTTCATCCGGATCGGGTTCCTCGGTTCGTTTGCTCGTTCGCCTTCGCCTTCGCCTTCGCACCTACGATGTACTACACACAAGGCCGCCCCTCGGCCACGCCCCCCCTTTCCTACGAACCTGCGCCACGGGACAAATGTTGGTTCGGGCCTTTTTGACTGTTCCCTTGCTCCGAAACTCGATGCGTTTGCACTTTTCGGAGGGTGCGCGCGCCAACTCGACCGATGCTAGCGTATATTCTTTTGTCTTGTTCTTGTTGCGAAAAAGGCTTACCAGCGGATCGTGGACGGCGGTGGATCGTGGACCCGGGGAGCTGGGCCAGCCACACTTCTTCGTTCGGCAGATGGCGTACAGGCCATAGCGCCCCCGCCTCGTCCTTTCATGTGAACCGCGGAGCCTTTCCGGTTCTTGACCTTGATTCCTCCCCCCCCCCATTTTAGACTCTATCTATGGGGGGGGGGAGAAGTCTTGGACAGCGGCAGATTACCGAGGTGCCGCGGAAGCGTCCAGGGATATCTCGATTTTGGCCTTTACTTTCATTCTCATCCCGCCGACGGACGATAATAGCAATGCGGGAGACTTACTGTTGCCAAGGCCGTGGGGGAATACGGGATCTTTCGGACTCGGCATCCGGACGAGGATGGAGGGGATGAGGAACGAACGTCTCAGCCCGAAGTCTGGGCAGCGGGTCGTAATCGCGACACGCCGGCGGGGCGCGGGACAGCGCTTAAAGTTGATCAGCCGCCGAGTGCGATGCTCTCGAGACTTTGTTCGTTGTCGGGTCATTCGTACCTCGGAAGCGTCACGAGACGTCATCTCGAGTGTTCAGGTTCGGCCTCGAGGCGCAATCGAGATTGTGGATCGTGTGGCGCCGGGGTGGGGAGAGAGGGAGGCCTCAGCCACACCTGGGGAATCAACAAACCTTGGCCTGCCGTCCATCATCCATGTTTACGATGTCGAGGGTTCACGCAGCAGAGGTCCCGAGACATCCCGACGGGTCGTGGGAAGGGCCGATGATGATGATGATGATGTATGGCGTTTCCATTCCATCATGCACTACCACCACCACCACCCCCCGGCGAGCGAGATCGGACATTGCAGAACGCTGCGTGTTACCTCGTCCTCAACCTCGGAATCTCGCCGGGTGGGGCAGCAGGCAGACGTGTGTGCAGGAAATACGATGGACCCTCCGATGCAGCATAAGATGCTATGTGATAGGGCTGGCTGGAACCTGCTTTTTAGCTTACGAACAACAACAACAACAACAACAGCAACAGCAACAACAACAACAAGCTGCGTGCCGGCACGGCGGCGGGTGAGAACGGGATGTCGAACGGCGAAGAATGACGGAAAAGACTTGGCGATAAGCCAGTCCGCGGCGGCGCCCCGCAATGCACACAATGCTGCTTATCGCGGGGTAGGTAGGCTTGAAGTTCTGTGTGGGGGGGGGGGGGGGGGGGGGGGGCCTGAGCAGAGATGGACGATTAGCAGCAGCAGCGATAAAATAAAAAACAAAGATATATGGAGAGCTTGCGACTGAGATCCGTCAAAAACCACGGGGGGGAGTTGCGGCGATACCGTTTAGCCATTAAGGCCAACGGTTTGGTCCGCAATTACGGAGTACAACTACTATCTAAGTTCACCCAGCGCTGGGCCCGCGGTTCCGTAAAGCGGCTATGGCAGCGCGGTACCGCTGAAAGGTGTGTGTGTGTGCGCAGGGCAGGGGTTTAAACTGCTTTAACCGTCGGCTCGGTCCAGCGCTGGAAGGTGAGGAGGATTCAAGGCGGTCAGAGATTGCATAGGTAGGAGCGGATTGCGCCTTTGCTCTTCCCCCGCCTCTTGGGTTATGGAAGAGAGCATGGAGTCTACGTAGTAGGGACCCCCCCATGCACAGGAGACCCATTCCGGCGCCTGGGCCCTCGTTGACGGGTTCATGCCCCCTCTCTTTAGGTATCTCGCTCGCAGACGCACCCCCCCCCTGTACTGTCTGTCCCAGGTTCTGGGTGAAATGGATACTGGGAAATTTGGTTGGGCTGGAGGATATGAAACGGGGATGCACCCAGCGGATCCCAGCTTGTCAAAGCCGGTCGCCCTCGATCCACCGCCCGCTGAGTGACAGGACGATCGCCCCCGGGGGGGGCAGGACGCTCTAGGCCCTTTCCAGGCTTCGCTCTCTTTCCTCTTTGGGCATCGCCGGCGGCCCTTTCGTGGAGCTTCCGGTAACCCCCTCCCCCGTCACCCGTGGGAGAGGTCTCCCCTCTTGGGGCATGGCAGAAAATCTCTGCTCGTGGCCCACACGAACGGGGAAGGATATTGCACGTTACGTGTATACAATACGGAGTACGGATACACGCCCGAGGTATGGGATGCCCGAGGTATGGGATTCGCATTCACGGCGTGTCGGCCGGCGAGATTCCGGGGACGTTGGACACGTTGCATAGGAAAGCGTGTGTAGTATTTACCACGTAGGTGCTTGTGGTGTGTTGGAGACGTTTGGACGAGAGGGTTTATGGACAAGGGCAGTCCCGTCAGCCCCCGTTGGGGAATCCGTACGGCCGGAAGCGGAAGGAGAAAAGGGCCCAAGGGCCTTTTGCTGGAATCTCTCGGTGCTTCAGGGCTCATGAATCTTGTTTGGTCGGTACGGTACCGGAAATGATTCAAGA